TTTTGTAAGTCGTGGTACCACTGTAATTGTAAAGCACATGAGCACGACTTGCATCTTTTGCAGCAAATCAACCAAGATCTCAACATCCAGCTGCTGAAGGACGGGTACCGCTTGGATGAGATACCGGACGACGAGGACCTGGACCTGATCCCGCCCAAGTCAGTCAACCCGACCTGCATTTGCTGCCAGGCGACGCCCTCCACCACCTGTCACATCCAGTAGCCCGCCCGTTTCTGAGCACAGCGTAACCCCGATGTTCATCTCCTCATCAGTTTTCTTTGTTGTCTAGAGTGACAGCGGTGACACACCGGTAGAAAATATATGACCGACTCAAATGTGCTAGAATAGGAATGACCAGTCCATTCAGTCATAGTACGTTTTGCTTAAAACTGTGAGAAGGCAAAAGATAAAGAGAGTCAATATACACGAGTCGCAGAGAGTTAGCGACATTGGGCTTTCCGTGACATTTCAGGATGCAACTCAAATGCATGATAACCTTTCAATTTCATCTGCCTGCCTAAACTGCTGAAACTTTTGAATGCCCGACCAACTGGTCATTGTTTCAGTGTTTTTTGCCCAACTTGCTGTTTTCAAACAAAAAGCCGACACGGCAAAATTCACAATTGTTCGTTCTGTGAATGGATTAAAACGTTTCCTGGTTCAATTCGAAATATTTTAACAGTCCTCTTCATTGAGCTGTTCGCATTTTGATATCCTGAAACCCAGATGACGCCCAAAATTTGATCAGCAGAAGCTGGCCGTTGCCTGGCTTCAAACAGAATGCTCTCAGACCACTGAGCATCATCGGTGGAAACAAAGACTGGCGGAGTCAGAGAAATGCATAGGAGAAATTATTGGAATTGTGCTTTTTTTTTTAAATCAGCTGCTCTGCTCTTTGTTTTAGCACAGCGAGTGACAGTGCCAAACGTCACCGCATTGGACAATTGTGAAAACAAACACAGTGGCTAACTCACAGCCACATACCGACTCTCGCACAAATAACGAACGTGCTGGAATGGAAAAACTGCAGCCCCTGCGGTTTTTATTGGGAGAGCATCGTTTAAAGGCGCCACATGTATCCATCTTTTTTCAAGCATAGCCCCATTTACTGACTGTACGTATGCAACAGAGACTCTCCGCACTTCACTTGAATTATAACCTCCGCCACAGGTATGAATTATAACTACAGTGAAATATTGTAAAACACTGCATTGGTCAGCCTCGGTGACACTCAGTCTTTGAACATTTGGATGTGTACATTTAAAAGTTTAGAGGACTTTAAAATAAGTCCAGCTGTCGAGGTGGTATTGCTATTGAGTTTTATCCTGAAATTTCACCCCAAAGCTGAATATCCCTACCTTTTTGTGACGACTGTGTATGTAGAGTATATACCGTATCTATATACAGGATATGAATGCCGGTGTTTTCCTCCTATGGTAGGACATGCACTTCTCCTCAACATGATATTAAAACAGTGATGATGATATTGCTGACTCAGCTGCTCCGCTTACCTAAAACACGGTTTACATGTGTAACTACCGTTGTACTGTTTTTGTTGTCCTGAAATTAAGTTTAATTGCTGCGTGTTGATGAGGCAAACGACTGCAATCTTGGCGCTCCAAGTACTGTAACATTGTACTGTACAAGGTTGCGATGTAGCACAGTGCGGGCCACGCTTCCCCCTCCCCATCCTCATCCAGTCCTCTGTCCTACTGGCTTCGAATGTATCCTGACAGGCTTTAGGGATGAATGTAGGGACACGGTTGAAGCGCTAACTGCATTATGATCACTGGACTAGATAACTTGAAAAACAGAAGTTCAGAAGGAATAATTGCACATTTCATTTCTCCCCTTCCCAGCATGTTATGTGTTGTATCATTTCAATTTGCACAAGTTGTTTTCAACTTTTCGGGCCTGTTTCTTGCACAGCTGCGATACAGTTTTTCCCCCGAAGTAGGAAAAAAACGCATGAAAAGGGAGATTGCTGTATTTGGTTAGAAGGCATTAGGACAAAGGACAAAGTACAGTATTTCATGTCATTTCCCCCAAAAAGATTTAAAGGTTTGTACATTTTATAGTGTCCATCATGAGAAGCAAAAAGGATTTGACTCCTCCCTTTGCACACATACACACATGCATGCATGCATGTACTGTACATAACCACCATGCCAATGTGAATAGTCGATGGGAAACTGTGGGTCTGGCGGCTTCAATTACTGACCTATCTCCCTTAAATGAACTGATTATTTGCAGTTAGAGTTGCCTTAAGTACAAACAAGCTAACAATATGTGTATCATTTATTGCAATGATGTTGCCATGAGAAGTTACTTTAATAAAGCTGGTGTAACTTTTTTTTTTTAACCTTAAACCATTAGCTTTGATTATTTTTTCTCTTAAAATCATTTTGGTTTTATAAACACTCCCATTATGGCATTTAACATTGTTATTGTTAAGTGTGGTCTATGAAAACAAATAAACACACAGCTAATGGAATATTAGCCCGACTATTGCTTTTATTTTTGTTACTGCTCTTCTACAGCGATAAAAGGAAGTTATTTGAGTTTATTATAAGTAGAACCATGTGGTACATGTTACACATGCATACCTGTCAACTTTTCAGAGCGGTAAAAAAACGCCTTACTATACATGGTCGTTATTTTCGTCAAAAAACGCCTTCCTATACACGGTCGTTGTTTTCGGCAAAAAACGCCTTACTATACATGGTCATTTTTTTCGGGTTAAAACGCCTTACTATATATACATGGTCGTTTTTTTTTCGGCTGAAAACGCCTTACTATACATGGTCGTTTTTTTCGGCTAAAAACGCCTTACTATACATGGTCGTTTTTTTCGGCTAAAAACGCCTTACTATACATGGTCGTTTTTTTCGGCTAAAAACGCCTTACTATACATGGTCGTTTTTTTCGGCTAAAAACGCCTTACTATACATGGTCGTTTTTTTCGGCTAAAAACGCCTTACTATACATGGTCGTTTTTTTCGGCTAAAAACGCCTTACTATACATGGTCGTTTTTTTCGGCTAAAAACGCCTTACTATACATGGTCGTTTTTTTCGGCTAAAAACGCCTTACTATACATGGTCGTTTTTTCGGCAAAAACGCCTTACTTAAAATGGTCGTTTTTTTCAGTAAAAAACGCCTTACTATACATGGTCGTTATTTTCGGCAAAAAACGCCTTACTATACATGGTCGTTTTTTTCGGCTGAAAACGCCTTACTATACATGGTCGTTTTTTTCGGCTGAAAACGCCTTACTATACATGGTCGTTTTTTTCGGCTGAAAACGCCTTACTATACATGGTCGTTTTTTTCGGCTGAAAACGCCTTACTATACATGGTCGTTTTTTTCGGCTGAAAACGCCTTACTATACATGGTCGTTTTTTTCGGCTGAAAACGCCTTACTATACATGGTCGTTTTTTTCGGCTGAAAACGCCTTACTATACATGGTCGTTTTTTTCGGCTGAAAACGCCTTACTATACATGGTCGTTTTTTTCGGCTGAAAACGCCTTACTATACATGGTCGTTTTTTTCGGCTGAAAACGCCTTACTATACATGGTCGTTTTTTTCGGCTGAAAACGCCTTACTATACATGGTCGTTTTTTTCGGCTGAAAACGCCTTACTATACATGGTCGTTTTTTTCGGCTGAAAACGCCTTACTATACATGGTCGTTTTTTTCGGCTGAAAACGCCTTACTATACATGGTCGTTTTTTTCGGCTGAAAACGCCTTACTATACATGGTCGTTTTTTTCGGCTGAAAACGCCTTACTATACATGGTCGTTTTTTTCGGCTGAAAACGCCTTACTATACATGGTCGTTTTTTTCGGCTGAAAACGCCTTACTATACATGGTCGTTTTTTTCGGCTGAAAACGCCTTACTATACATGGTCGTTTTTTTCGGCTGAAAACGCCTTACTATACATGGTCGTTTTTTTCGGCTGAAAACGCCTTACTATACATGGTCGTTTTTTTCGGCTGAAAACGCCTTACTATACATGGTCGTTTTTTTCGGCTGAAAACGCCTTACTATACATGGTCGTTTTTTTCGGCTGAAAACGCCTTACTATACATGGTCGTTTTTTTCGGCTGAAAACGCCTTACTATACATGGTCGTTTTTTTCGGCTAAAAACGCCTTACTATACATGGTCATTTTTTTCAGCTAAAAACGCCTTCCGATACTTGGTCGTTATTTTCGGCAAAAAACGCCTTGCTATACATGGTTGTTTTTTCGGCAAAAAACGCCTTACTAAAAATGGTCGTTTTTTTTCGGTAAAAAACGCCTTACTATACATGGTCGTTTTTTCGGCAAAAAACGCCTTACTAAAAATGGTCGTTTTTTTCGGTAAAAAAACGCCTTACTATACATGGTCGTTTTTTTCGGCTGAAAACGCCTTTCTATACATGGTCGTTTTTTTCGTCTAAAAATGCCTTACTATACATGGTCGTTTTTTCGGTTAAAAACGCCTTACTATACATCATACCTGTCAACTTTTCAGCGCGCCAACCTGTATAAACTACCGGTACCAAAAAAATCCTTATAAAGAGCAAAAAATCATACCAAAGCATTTTATATGTCAAAATAACGGCAGAAAAAAAAGCCACGAAATATGAATGATATATTTGTTTCCTTGTAGAACGTGCTTGTACACTACCGAAGTATGCAATGAATACTCTGCTGTTTTTAAAAACACTCATTTGTGGTGTGTCAAATTTACAAGACATTCCTTTTCACTTTACAGGGACTTGAAGAAGCCAACAAGCGAACAAAACAAACAAGCTAGCTTGCTAGCTGCTAACTAGCTTGTCAACGGGGAGTCCAAAAGAGAACAGCATATTCATCTTCAAAACAAAAAGTCTCTCTTTCATTTTGTTTTTAACTCTTTGTTTTCATCCATTCCTCTAAATAAAGCCACGAATCCTGAATGTAGATTGTCAGATCAGGTGAGCATGTATATTGAATTAAATTGCACAGGATTAGAAAGCACATTCTTTTTAATGTTAAAATGTCGGCGCCTTAATTATTACATTGCTATGGCTAATGCATTAATACAGGGTCTGCAATGACCCTCATTACATTGCAGTAGCATCATAAAGGCTTCAACCTGAAAGGCACCAACACAGAATCACAGCTGTCAAAAAACAGGAAAAGAAATCTTAACTCTAAGCATTGCTTTACAAAAAAAACCAAAACAAAAACATTGATGGCTCGTGTAGTGGATTGGAGCCCCCTCGCGGCCTCATTAATGACATAAAAATATGAACATGAAAAACACAGTGTCCCCAATAAATACAAAGACATATGCTACAAGATGGAATTGATTTCTGAACTCAAGAGTCCCAGCAGATACAAAAGTGACATGTTGTGCTTCAACATCACCACTAGGAGGTGCAAAATGTTCATGGAAACATCCCTGATTAAGTACAACATGCTGACAAAAGAAGTTAAGTGTACAGCGCCTGGCTGGCACTGTTGGTCTTGAGACAGACAAGTCACTTAATATTCACTCGACATTGCTGAATATTAGTGTGAACAACTTAACGATGATAATTATTCGTTTTGTTCGTAGCGAGGAGGGGGCGGGCCTCCACAAGGCACAGTCCTCAAGTGAAGAAGACAAGTTTGCTCGTCATGTCTGATGAACTTAACATTTGGCACGAAGTTTGCGTTAGCTAAGTCTCGTCAAGGTATTCTTCAAGCATTGATTAGGCAGGTTTATGCATATTTCACGTTTCTTCATATGAAGTAACTTTGTAATCGGCTAAATTCTAATCTACATAATAATTGTCTCATTTCTCGCTAATAACTAAAGGCTAAATAATCCATCTACCCTCTATGTACATAGTAATACTGCTCTATTGTACATACGCATTATCCTTACCGTATAAACGTGTTTAATATTCGTTTCTATTCAGTCATGAAGTGAGGCTGACACGTGTTTACAGACTAAACATAGTGTTGCTAACAATGGTATATAAAATTAGAGTACGGTATATAATATCACAAATAATCATTCACATTCTCACCTTTGGGACAATTTAGAGAATGTCACGAACCTAATATGCTTATTTTTGGAATGTGGGATGTGAGCCATGCTAACCCCACACAAGATTCGAAGCCAGAACCTCAGAACTACAAGGCAGACGAATAACCACGATTCCATTGCACAGCCTGATGTTATATTGTTTGTTTAGAAAAAAAACACTAATAATAAAAAATCTATTGGAAATAAGTCAACCTGACAAGATTTTTTTTTTTTTTTTTTATAAATACCTGTCACATTGGAACAGAAGTTCAACAGTGAGAAAACCTCCACAAGAATGGGGGCGGCACACGAGTGGGTGTGTCCATGTGTGTGTGTGTGTTGGCCTCCATTTAGACCCCCTGAGGACTTTGGTCTCCGGAGTCGGACGACGACATCGAGACGGAGCTGCGGCGTCTCTTGGCAGAGCCGGCACCCTGGAGCATGCTGGGATGAAAGCCGGCGTGGCGGCGGGCGTGCTTGGTCAAGTGGTCGCTCCTCATGAAGCACTTGTCACACAGCGGACAGGTGAAGCGCTTCTCGCCAGTGTGCGTGCGGTAGTGGCGGGTCAGCTCGTCCGAGCGGGAGAACTTCTTGCCACAGGCCGGCCAGTTGCACTCAAACGGACGCTCGCCTGAGGAAGAACATGGGAGTGTTATTTGAACAGAGGGCAATAGTTACCCCCCTCAAGAACCACATGAGAAGTCCACGGGCCTGATCTGAAATAAAGTATCTCACTTGTGGGATGAGCCTAACTTTTGTTTTCAATGTGCGTTGTGATTTCATATTGCAAGAGAAACATGTAGAAATTAAGCCTAAATCTAAGATCACAGTAAGTTCTGAGAAGTGTTTTTTTTTTTTTTTTGCTTCTTGAAAATGCAATAAAAACAAACAAAAAAATAATGGATGAAGCAATTTATGAGCAGGCAAAGTACGGTTTGATCTGTCTTAGGGCATAAACAACAATTTGAGGAAGTCTGCGTGTGTGTGTGTGTGTGTGTGTGTGTGCGCGCGTGTTTTCTCGGAACAAAATCAGAACACGTTGATTTTAGAACAAGTGAGTCACGATAACAGCCATGAGCATTTAAAAAAAGAGTAAGAAAACCACTCAGTCTCCTCCCCCGCCACGTGCGCCACTCGACCACGTGTTTCCTCTTGTTGACAACAAGGCGCACGAGGGCGGGGCGGATGACGTATGCGGTAGTAGCGGCTCGCTCGGCACGGGGAGAGGCGGGGCCTGGGAGTGTGGCTTTGTTTAATGTTCGTTTTGCTGTTTTACAAATTTATCAGTTGTCTTTTGGAGGGAAGGGAGAGTACAGAATGTTTCTAGACTGTGGCACACACACCCATATACCCACGCAGCCACGCGCGCGCGCGCACACACGCACACACACACACACACACACACACACACACACTAACTACCACTACTTCCTCCTCCTCCCACCGGCTGAGCACGATACGCGCACACACTACCACCACTTCCTCCTCCTCCCACTTGCTGAGCACGATGCTTCATATTCTTAGTTATCGTTTTTTTTGGGGGGGGGGCACGACCACCCCTAATATCACGACATGCGCTCACGAATCTTTATATCGTGACGCAGTGACGTCACTTCATGGCGTCGTGTACCCATTTGAGCAATCACGTCAACAATAGATGTACTGATGAAAGGGCGGTTCCGAAAAAAAAATAAATGACCAGGTGAGTTTTACTTACCGGTATGGACCCTCAGGTGAGCTTTAAGGTGGGACGACTTTCCGTACATCTTGCCGCAGCCGCTAAATGGGCAGCGGTGCCTCTTCTCGGAGGACTCCTGCGGTTCCCCCGCCCTCCTCTTGCTCTCAGCTGGCTTGTCCTTCTCCTTCTTCTCCACGGCGTCGGGCCGACATTTGTTCAAGTCCAACAAAATCATCGCCACCATCAGCAAAGTTCGGTTCTCCGGGCTGTCTTTGAGGTCGTCATCTGTCCGGACCGCGGGTGGTCGCGCAGGGACGGGGTCCGCAAAGACCTCGGACATGACTACTGCAAGAGTGCACTGGCGACGATGAGAAGTGTGGCAAAAAAACAATCCTCACCCGGTGAAGAGGGGGAGGAGAGGGTCAGAGCGAGGTGGTGAGTTTGATCTTCCACACACGTGTCGGCGTCAATGTGACTATCTGTATCGCAAAGAGTGGGCCGTTCAAATAATATTTTTTAAAAAGCATTCAATAAACAGAGTTAAGCGCAACTTTGAACTGTGTCCTTATATTCTCCGTCAATTTCTTCGTTCCAGCGCCTTCCACAAGATCTAATCGAATGCTCCTCCACACACGCGACAACTTGTCCTGGCTGCTTCTGTGTCCTCGCAGTCCCGAGAAACAATTTCGCGGAATCCCACGGCGTCATCGTGGAATTGGACGCCCATTGGCCTACGAGAAACGTGACCCGTTGTTTTAGGGAATTGCCGATTCACGGAGGCAGCGACCGGGCCGTGTGAGCCAATCAGAGGGCGACGTTGGCGGAAAGGGGCTGGATTTGAAAGATGCCGCATTCACGTCCGACTGTTGACTGGGAAAACGTGACTTCAACGCATAGCAGATATAACGCACACAATTATGGAGTTGCACTAAAAATACATGTTACGATATTGTCTTAAGGAATACATAAAAAACTAAAAAAAAAAGCAATTATAGTTTATTTTTCATTCAAGCAGCATTACGATGGTTTACATAGCAAGCATATTTAACATCTAAAAACTTGTTTTGACTACGCACATTAAAACAATCTCAAACAAGTCTTTCTAGTTAGTCATAATACAATTTTTAATCGTTAAAATTCTCACCCACAATATCTTGTGACCTTTCGAATACAGATAGTGATTCACCTTTGCGTTGTCAACCTGGAACTTGTTTTAGCCTGCGACCAATGACGTCACTTTGCCATTCATTTGTAGGAGTTACTCATTACAGTTATCTACAATTCAGGTGAAGACAGCCAAGAGAATTTCAGATATCTGTAACGCCAGTTTAAGACATCTACAATTTGATTCTGACTCGTCTTGATTCCAGTTACATATATGTACAACCTCCTTTCACCTAGTTCAAAGTTAAATGTGGTGCGATTGCCAGCCAGAAGTCCATGTGTGATGTCGGTCATAGTGTCTATATAACTGTCTATAATGAGCGCTGGGGTTGCTATGCTACATCAGGATGTATTCGCCAACATTATAAGTGCTATGTGGTGTTGCATTAACCAACGTTATTGTGGCGTCTGCATGTTCCTATGAGATAGGGTGATGTAATAACCAGCATTAAATAGGTAGCTGGCCGTTCTCATAAAGTATTATGATGCATTAACGACCACTTTAGTGATGTCTGGCTGATGTGTTGTGGTGTATTCACTGGCACTTTAGTGGTATGTGGCGGTTGCTATGATACTCTCTTACATAATAGCGTATAGGTTTGAATGCACCAATACTACATAAATAACCTGAGGCCTGTTTGATATTTCTGTTCATTGATAGGTTCTCGTGCTGAGCAGCTACAATGACATCATGAGATACACGTGACCTGTAAATGTGTGACAGGAAATTGATACATGCTTTGATTTTTCAAATGTAATCCAAGACAACTGCTATGATGGGCTCATCCTAAATTAGCTCTCCAATATGACATGACTTGACTTAAGTCTGCATAGAGGCAGACATCTTGTTTTCTTGCTTACAGGTCGAGAAGAACTTTGTCCTGTCTCTAAACGCTTCTTTGGTTTTAGTTCAGATCCCAATACATTTAATCTGCTAAGAGAAGAAATGACACCAACAAATCATCAACTAGCATTGATGTGACATTCTATTTGCTGACTAGGTTTGTGAGTCATCATGTGGACAAACAGGATACTGGTTCAGGACGTCCTTCCATTTCAACAGCATGACCCAGCCACACAAGATGCAGATTCGTGTTGCAATTTGGGAAACGTGTGCAGAATGGCACATACATACAATGTTTGCGTTGCAGCGGCATGTGCATGCTGACCGCCACTGGCCAAAACTTTAGGTACACATATGCAATCCAATGAAATGTCAAATAAGAGATTTATTGTTTATACTCCCTGTAAAGTGAAAATAACTATCTTGTAAATTTGACACCCCGCAGAGAATCTTAACAACCGAGGAAATTTCGAATGACTAAAAAAAAATGCAGGTTTATGAAATGAGGCTTCAAAATCAATTATTAAATTGTCTTCGTGAGCTAATTTTGTCATCTTCTTTTTGCCTTTCAATGTCTTTAGCTGTTTGTAAATGCTCGTCGGTGTTGTGCTCTTGGTTGTGTGAAGCACATACAGTTAACTGCCTTGTGTATGAAATGTGCTTTAGAAATAAAAAATGCCTTACCTGGCCTATAACAAGGACTTTTACGCCACTGCAAGCTCCAACCACAATAGTGAACTTAATACTGACAAAATTGAGCTATCAAAAAATTCCGTATTTTTTTAGCCTTCCAAATATAACATGTATGATATTTTCTGCTGTGATATCCTGTGGTTCATATTCGTGACCTAAAAAACGAATTGGACGCATTCCCAAACACGTGCGCGGGGCATGATCTGCTGGTTTTGTTTGACAGGCAAAACATACATTCAAGGTCTCGTCTATACAGCGCAGGCCGCAGAGGGGTGGGGCTGCTGTGTTGCTCAACAAGTACGGTCGGTTGTTCTTTCATGTGGGGAACATTCGCAGAAAAACCCATGCAAGATGACGGGGTTGTGTAATATTTAAGTGTGCACACATTTTAGACGTTTTGTGATGCGTTTAAGTACCCCGGAGAAAAGAGAAGACAAAAAAGGAGGTTTTTACTGCTTCGGTTGCACTCAGCACATATGAAGTGGCCATTAAGTGCACTGCGCTGTAAGCTGTCACTAACCTACATTTAAAGGGAGTAAGAGTGTCATCAACACAGTCACAAACTAAAGAATACTTAAAATAAAGTTACGGCGTTAACTGAGCGTGCCTATACTTCTATCAATCTGAGTGAAAATGGAGCACTCGCCTCCCTCCTTTCAGAAAGCAGCTAACCATAGCCCCACCCCCCTTTCCTCGTGGCCCCAGACTTCTAGGAATTACGCTTGCAACCTGGGTCATCCTGCTCCCGCTCCTTTTCCTCCAAGGCTGTAAATAGTTCCTGGGAAGAGGAGGGGGAGGGGGCGGGCGATCTCCCTGCGCCCCCCCCCCCACTCCCCACGTCTCTCTTTTCCTTCATTCCTGGCGCCGAGTTGTGTGAGGCGCACATGTGGGTCAAGAAGACGAGTGTGTCGTCATCATGTTGCTTGTTGACTGTCAGCACACGCTGCAACGAAGAGGAATGTGTGTGTGTGTGTGTGTGTGTGTGTGTGTGTGTGTGTGTGTGTGTGTGTGTAACGCAGTGGCCCTTGAGAAGGGAACATAATGTCCTCACACACACACACACACACACACGTCGGTGGTATGGCTCTGTCGGCCGCAAAGTATGGGCCGTGGGTCCACAGAGGTCCCACTCAGTTCTCCAATCTGGCCCACTAAGCATTCACATGATCAAGATCACAGATTACAATATTAAGTAGAGTAAATATTCCACTGGTCAACAGCAAATTGTTATCAGAGATAGCTTTGTGTGTCCCTGAACATCATTTTTTTTTCAGGCACATCTGATTTTTTTTTTTTAGATATTTTCATTTTTGTTTTTACTGTGCGCTGTAATGTAGAGTTGCATCCTTTTTTTTAAAAACAAATTCATCTGTTGCTGAACCTAATCCTATTCCATAAATATTAGTAAATATATTACATATTATATTGTCGGTATTATATTACTTTTATGAAAATTTGAGGTGCTAGAGAATAAATAAGGGCAGATTCGGAATCACATAAAAAAAATTAAAAAAACATCCAGAAAAGTTTACTTACATTTCTGATTAAAACATTTACCGTACAAACAATGTTGACCAGTTTTATTATATGGGCTAATTCTTATATTAATTTAGCCATCAGTTCCCCTTAAACTGGTTCATATATTGGTGACATTCCAGCTTTTTGCACAATACAAAACACAAACAGAAGACGTGGCTATGGATTTGGCAATCTATTTGTTTATTTACCAATGCATGCCTGACATGATCCTATTCACATGTAAGAATACAGATTTGTATTTGCATCCAAATACTCACTACTTTGATTTCATAGAATAACCTCTTTCTCTTGTCTTCACAGGTTCATCTCTGTACACTCTGAGTGGAAGAACTGCATGCATCTCAAGGACTCGGTTGAATAAATAAAGTGAGAGCGGGAGGTCGGCGGGTGGGTGAAGTTATTGCGGGGAAAGGACGTCTCCACTCGAGCATCACAGGGAAGAAATCAAATGTGCTGGTTTTCGTCGTATAGGCTCGGGATTTCACAGGCAGGCGAATGTTTTGGGAAAATATTTAAGAAAATACTGTACATGGAGAAAACGCGTATATAGCTGAGAGGTGACTGCACGCACATTTCACATTTATAGCATCATGTCGCTGTGAGGGTTCAAGTTCATGTCAGTCTCCACCCGGACATCTGTTTCCGAACTTGAGTGGAGCTATACGACGCCTGCCTCGAGTGAAGCCTGAGCTGTGCACGCTACACATCAGGAGAACACCGCTCAGCTTCTTTGGCCAAAAAAAAAGAAAAAAATAATTGCTTCGCTTTAGCACGTGAGGGGCCGGCAACGGGCGTCTGTTCCAGGAAAAAAACGACCTCAAACTCCCCCATTGTTGTTTTAGCTATTCGGATGGAAATGTCTGATTTCATCAAGTGACGATGTTCATTTTGATGTGATTCCCAAAGACATAAAACAGTCGAGATTGTGATGTTATCCTTTCTACCACGTAAATAGCGCCATTTCCTGCTCTATATCTTGGGTGTAAATCAAGTCACATCGCTCCTGATAACCTTTTGCTTGCCAACATCACTGAAGTATTCTTGTCCCTGAGCACTGACTTTGGGTCCCGCTTCTCGCTTTCAATCTTGTACAGTGGAACCTTCAAAGAAACTCTTTTGCTCTTTCTTTGGCTTGACTTGAAACACTCGCGACGAGACGTGATCAAAGTTAAGCCGCGGGGGATCCTTAAGCACAAAACGCACTTGACCTCAGACTTTTTGGCAGTTACGACGCAAAACCCGCCATTAATTTTGGAAAAAATATGGGGTTAGACCTATAACGTCAAAACGAACGGTATTTCGTCAGTTCATCTATCTATGCTGGTGTCGTATAGCGGCAAGCATGAATCCTAATTACTAATCTCCAAATATTTGGGGGGGGGGGAATACATTGAATGTGCCAGCAGTGGTCAAAAACGGTAGCGTATTTTCCACACTAAAAGGCACACTGGATTATGAGGCGCACCTTCAATGAATGGCCTATTTTGTAATTTTTTAAATATATTGGACGCACCGCATTATAAGACGCAATCTACAATGCATCCACTAGATGGAGCTACGCTCAAGGAAATGCCAACAGAACATTACACTACACTACACCCTGATTTGTATAGCGATGATCAGATGTCAGTAAAACTTATTTCATAAAGCAGCGACACAGTTCACTTAACCAACAGCCAGTTATAACATTGACTTGTTAACGTTGAACTCTATTGCAGCTGATCTATTTCCGTGTTGAACTGCGAAACCGATCGGCTTAAGTTTGAACTCTGCGTTGTCAGCATGTTTCGAGCAAGGAGCCATTTTGGGGTTGACATTACCGTAATGACCATACACAAGGTGCGTTTGAGGCGCGCTGTGAGCTTTTAAGAAAATGGAAGGCTTTTAGGAGCGCCTTTTAGTGCGAAAAATACGGTATGCAAGCTTTAGAGAGAAAACGAACTGAGGCCGCCAAATGGTGCCCTCCATTTTGTCCACTTCTGGTCAAGACACAATTAGTCAACGATCAATGTTATGCTACATTTAACTTCAACGGAACAATTTTCCCAGATTCCTTTCAACTTTAAAGGTTCCACTGTACGTTCACAGTTATGTCGCATGTCTTAAATCGATAACCCAGGAACTAATGTTGTCCACTAGGGGGGTTGAACATGTCGGGTGTTTTAACTTTGCAAGAGGGTCACCATACAGGTTATTGTGTGACACAAAAAATGAATCACTATTCAACAGTCGTTATTACACTTTGAATTTGTCCGCCCATGCAAAAACATACGCGTTTGTCCTCGACGCCTTTTGGCTACAAACAGATGTTCAGACAAGCAATGTTGCTGCCAGCTCATTCCAACAAGCATCCTCTTTGTGCGGTTCAAGAGCTCAAGCAGATGTCTGCGCTGAGGCCACATGCTGACATCAGTCATGGATATTTCCATTTTTAATGACGTGGGGAACATATAAAGTAAAAAAAAAAAAAAAAAACATATGTGTGTGACTGAACTCCAACATAATTCATCCATGCCCCAAAGGCACCTGAAAATTTGGTATCCAGCCAAAAGTTGCCACGTCATTCCATTTCTCAGCGTATGATAAAAACTACTTTAAATATTTCTAATAGACACCTATGTTTTTCATAAATACATAAGCATTTAGTGCATGTGGCTGTCTTTCATTTCATTTTAAAAAAATCAGATCAATATTAAGAGGTTATAAAAATTATATTTGCAAATCAAAAAGGTACTTTATTGTCAGTGATGGAGACGAAGCATTAAAGAGTGAGTTGAAATGTCGCACAGAATAAAACTTGATGAACGACACTATAAAACGTTTGGGATTTATTGGTTGGAAAATTAAGCGGAAGATTTGTAGTTATACCCTCATTTGAAGAATTTACATCCGATGAAAAAGAGCCCTTTGTATCAACAGAAGGTCCTCTGACACAGGGCCAACCAACCAGGCTGCAGAACCAACCAAAAACTGATGAGTTGCGTCTTTGCGGCACCATCGCAGTCAAGCGCAGCTCTGAGCCGTGCGCACGCAAACCTTGGCCAAAGTTTCTATTTCCAGCAACCCTTTAAAATGATGTCTCGTCCTTCCCATCCTCCATCAAAGCTTCGACCCGTCAGTGATATGTAGCGGTGTTTGGAAGGCACTTTCACGTGTGTGCGTGGCTCGCGTTTGCGCAATTTTTTTAAAAAATCATTCACTAGCAGCGTTCTAGTTTAGCCTCACAACCACAAAATTCTACCTTTAATTTCGCCTATCAGAGCTTGAGCAAAAACTCTGTAGGAAAAAAAAAAGCGAAAGACAGAATGACCCCTCCTTTTCCTTCGTAATCAAAAACTCATCTATTGTCTAGTTTTTATTGTCTTGTTGACAAGGGAGCCTTCCGATGTATCATCGGACCCCACCCATGAACGGTTCTATGCAAAACTCTTCGGCCACTGACTTAGTATATTCACTAATGCGATCATGACCGTATACTGTATTGTGCAGATTAAAAAAAATATACTGCATCTACAATAGACCTCTTCCAAGGCCACATCTTAAAGGTCAAAAAGTGCCATACTTGATTGATTTATTAGTTTCTCACTGTTAAGTATGGCAGTGATGTGAAAAGCAAATTCAGTATCCGCGCCGTGATGCGTTCGGTTTCCAGGACATCCTTTCAAACCATCAAATATAAGAGTTCTCCTTCAACATATCTGACGGCCAACAATGGGCGACGCATGCTCAATATTCAATTTGTTTTCAATCCCATTTCACAGTGAACGCAGGTTGCAGTTTCATTAACATTAGCTATGACCTATTCTAAACCTGGTTAAAAAAAAAAAAAAATGCATCCATCCATTTTCGATAGCGCTTATCCTCATTAGGGTAGTAGTGTGTGAGCTGGAGTGTATCTCAGCTGTCCTTGGGCGTGACGCGGACACACCCTGGACTGGTCCAGCGATAGAGCACATACAGTATCGAGGGCTTTGGTAGAGAGTAGACCCTGGATGGGCATCCAGTTATGAAATGTGCAGTCCTATGAAGCCCCGCCCCTCGCTCCCCAGTAGCACAGATAATAAAATTGTGGCCTCCTCGATCGTTTAAGTTGCCCATCCCTGGTGTAGACAAACAAGCATTCACACTCGCATTCAAACCGGTGCCCAATTTAGAGTCTTCAAGGCACCTAACATGCATCTGTTTGGGGTTTAAGACCATTGAAAATGTAAAAAAAATCATCATAATTATGAGAAAAGAACAATCAATTATGTTGAAAGAACAAATCCAGTGTTGGCCTCAGACTTTTGCACATTATTGTACATACAAATAGAGTGACCAGAATAATAAAAATCCACATTCAGAACCGCTGCAGACGATGAACTCAGTTTCCAAGAGTGAGAAACGACGGAGTTTACGGCAAAGCGGTTGTGTCATATAATCGGATGTAAAGTGGTGTCGCGATGGTTTTTTACTTTGACGTGGGCTCAGTGAACTGTGAATTGCACACTTTAAAAGTGTGTCCGGTTGAACGAAAGCAAAAGAATGACCATGAGGGGAATGAAATGAGGAGGCCTCAGATGTGGCAAAACGTCCCTTTTTGGGGAGCTGTGATTTTGGTTCTAGGTGAAGAGAAGCAAAAGTGCTGCTGCTGCTGCTGATGAATAAACAAACAGATTAGCGCATGTAGAGTCATGTTGCCATTGCTTATTTTATGCGCTGCCTTTAAAAATCTACAGCAGCAGAAGCGTATGTGTTTTCCGCTGTCTTATCACGCGGCCTTTCGGCCTTGTATTTACTGCTCGGAGTGCTAGCAAGCGTAACTTGACACATGACATGGCCATAAAGTCAATTCCCACAAAGTGTCCCATCACAATCCTCCAGTGACCGACAGGCCTAAACAGGATAAGCGCATGGATGGATGTCAAGTTAGTGGTTACCATGACAACTACGTTGTACTGCATGATTCAGAAACGATTTCTTGAGGAAGCAGCTACATGAGTTTGTTTTATCGTCCCGTGAAGACTGAGTGACATAATGAACGCTATGCTACGTTTGGTGTCGTGTGAAATGTATTATTTCCTTATCTTTGTCTTACCTTTGTAGTTCCAGTTTCTTACCTTCCGTGTTGTGGCACAAAGATGATGTAAAGGTAGTTTTTGGGGGGGAGACATACAGCACAAACACAACTTCCAGTGAGCGTTAAGTCAGCTACAAGAGCGGGAAGAAGTGAAACCTAATCTATAGCGCTTTATTTTTGACAGGTGTACAGATGGACCCGCTCACACACTCTCTGCTGACCCCCAATGCGCCGCAGATCTGTTTCAGGTGGAACTTTAAGGGTGAGGTTGTCCTGCTTTCATGCCTTCCCTTCTTCCCTAGTTCTTTCAGTGTATGCTGTCTGTGGTGGTGTGTGTGTGTGTGTGTGTGTGTGTGTGTGTGTGTGTGTGTGTGTGTGTGTGTGTGTGTGTGTGCGCGCGTGTCTTGTCACGTGTAGTTCTGTCTATCGAAGCTGCGGAATGCTGATGGAGCGGCCAGCTTCCTCATGGAGAGGCTGTCAGTCTTCGCTGTGTCAGGCCGCGCCCCGGACTTGCTCCTGAGGAAGGGGTTTCTGGTTCCTGCCAGACCCCGACCCCCGGGCCCAGGCCCCCTGTCTGCCCCCAGACCCGGTCCCCTCTCCATCCTCTCACTCACCGACAGGCTCTTCCTGTGCGGAGGGGCCAGCGTGAGCGAAGGATGGGAGTCGTCTGAAGAGCAGCTGTTCGCTCGCTCCAGCCTGGAGAAGGGGGAGCAGAGAGGGGCCCCGCCGGGTCCGCCCAGGGTCCCCGGACGAAGGGTGTCCGGGGCTGGGATCAGGTCCTCCGTATCAGACTCCGTGTGACTGAGCTCGGCCTCTCTCTCCGGATGAGAGGAGCCAATGTCTGGGGGCTTATCAAAAGGGAAAGACGTGGAGCCGCCGGGGGAGTGCGAGCGTTCTACGGGGGTGTACGGTGAGGAGACGCAGCGCGTGTCGATGCAGTCAGTGATGCTGGTGTACTCTGCAGCTTTTACCTGGACGCCCACACCCAGTCCGCCGTAGCAGCTCCTCGCCGGGAACATCAGGCTGTGGGACTTGACCAAAGGCGGCTCTTCCAGGAAGGACGTGCCCACCGCGGAGAGGAGGCGGCTGCTCTTGGAGCGCTCCAGCGGTCCGGCTGAAGGGGGCGGCGACGGTTCCGCGTCCCAAGGTGGGAGGCCGGTGTCCGGTAACAGGTGGGCCGAACACAAGGAAAGATCGGCCGCCGCGCTGTCGTCAAACATGGCTGCGGCCGTCCCGCTGCTGGCCCCGCCGCCCTCCGAGTGCCTGTCACCCAAACCGCTGGTGGTGGCGCTGCTCAAGTCCCGGCCTCCCGGCAGCACCGCCTCGACGATGTCGGACTGTAGCGACGCCTCTCTCTGGAGGGGCGGGACCACACGCAGGGAATCCAGAAAAACCTCGGCGGGTGCCACCTCCTCAGAAGTCGAGACATAGATATCGATGCACGATGACGGACGGTGCTGCTGGGAGACTGACAGCGTCGCCAGGGGCAGGGGCTTAGACTCTTTGGTGACGGCGGACGACGACACAGACTGCGAGCTGTTGGCTCGATGGAGACTAAGCGAGCGCTCTTTGAAGAAGCTGTCGGCCCGTTCGGCGCCGCTCGCGCGTTCGCCGCCGCGACCGCCTCCGACGTAAAACGAATGGCTTCTTGTCCTCGGCGCCGCGTTGGTTGGAGATGGAGGGGACATGGAGCCCTCGGCGGTGCACTCCAGCGCCTCCTGCAGGCGGTACGTGTTCCCCTCGGTGCTGTTGAAGCTGCTTTGGCGAAGAATGTAGGCGGCGTCCGCACACTCCCCTTGACGGAGGATGTACGCCGAGTCGGTGCAGTCAGATGACGTCCGTGATCGAACTTTGTTGACTTCCCCGCGTTCGACGCCCGTCACGCGCTCCAGCGCCACCGCGATTCGTCCGATCAGCTCCTCCATTTGCGCTAGGCGGATGTCAACGGTCTGCAGCGAGGCCTTCATAAAGTGCTCCCTTTCATTGACTTCCTCAAGACGCATGGCCATGTTCTCCACCCTGACAACAGTAATTATGAAAACATCAGTGCCAAGTTCTCCCCAGGAATCTGGAGAGGACCATCCTGATTCTGCAGAGAGCAAATCTGGATTCCGCGGCTTGAAAGTCGATTCTCCGTGGGCATTAAATAAAATGACGAATTCATCGACTAAAGAAGTAAGAATTCTTTTTGGAAATAATCTGTCAAACCAAAACATTGTGGAGAATTGTGTTTATGAAATAATCAAATAATCAATCAGTATCCTATTTGTCCCTCTAGGACAGATGTATTTAATAAATAATAATGATAATTATTATTGTCATTATTATAAATAATTTTATTTTCATTCAAATGCAAAACTGAACTGAACAGGGTTTGAGGCAGAACAAGTGATATTAAAACAATGTGTAAACTAACAGCTGAATGTCGTTACCATACAGCACACAGTATAATACTGTATATGTTGAGAGGGAAGAAATTTCATCTGTGCTGTATGTTACACATACGTACAGCACATTTGACAATAAAGTTGTAATCAATTCAATAAAGTTCACTTGACACTTGATATTACAGTATTATGCGGGCCAATCACGTGACGTCATCTTCAGTAGCCCTCTGCGATGCGTGACGTCATATTTACTGGACATCCGCATGAAATGAAGAAAAAGAAAACCGTCGCCTCATTCCCCCATAATGTTTCCCTCACACCACGTAAAGCTCATCTGTCGAAATTAGATGATTAAAAACACGCCTTTTCCGCAAACAGTGGCGCTTGTCATCGTTGCGTGTGCCACTCGACGTCGTGTTTTGTGCACATGCGTGTCACATTTAGAACGTGTTCAATTAACATTAGAGGATGCATTTATTTTCGTAATGTGAACGAGAACATATAATGTGGATTAAAAAAAAACTGAACGGGGCATAGCACGCAACAGTGTCAACGTGGCCGGTCTCACAGCGACATCTAGCTGCCAGGATGAAAACTACATTTAAATGTAATATTCTGAACCTCCCCTTTTTTCCGCGCACTGCTTTCAATTCCGCGGAAATCTTTGAGATCCGCGACAAATTCCGAAACAAACTAATTCAAACGAATCGCGAGAATCCGTTAATGGCCCAGCTCTGCCACAAACTAGTCGGGGCTAAATTCACAGTGCCTCCGCTAGTTGCGGCAAAGTAGTCAATCAATTCAATACAATGCACAATAATCCATGATTAGATTAGACCCATCCCCAACAGGGATACAGAAATGCCTGATAAACATCCTTTCTCCATTGGAATGACATGAAACCTTGCTTAGTTGACAAACCTTTCAGAAGTGACTCTGATCCTTTCGTCATTCGACGAGTGGAATCGGTCATCCTTCTCTCTGAAATATTCTTCGATGCACTGTTCTTCAAAGTCGTGGACCTTCTTCAGCTCATCCTCTGTGATGAAAAGCTCTGCGGATGGCAAAAGTTTGAGGGCGTTACAAGGGCGGCGGCATATTAATGAACTATTTAACAGTGGCATGTTTGAAGTGGCCTTGAACAATAAGATTGCGCTGATCGATCAGAACAAAGTAAGAGCGTTTATTTCGGATTTATATGTAAATGGAAGCTCTCAAAGGATGGCGCTGTGATGTAAGAACTGGATTACTTTGCCAGCAAAGCTCTGACATTTCATTTAAAACCTAAATGTTTCTGTTTTTGACTTTAGAACATCAGCTCTCCATCGCCACTTACTCAGTCCATAGTCCCTCTCGTCGTCATCGTGCTTGCGCCAGCGACAACACAGGTGCTTGAGCACCATGGTGATGTGACTGAAGATGATGAGCGGCGGAGGAAGGACCGGACGCTCGTGGAAGGTCATGATGAGCTGATAGCGTTGGAACTTCCAAACCTGGTTGGAGATGGACTTTACCTCGAAGAATGTGTTGCTATGGATAACACAGTCAGAGTAGGAGGAGGAGGATTAGATCATACCGCATACATAGTGCAGTTAAAATATCAGTTGGTTTTAACGTACAAGGCATGTTCAAAGTGCCCAGAGATAGCATCCGTTGTGAAACGGCACTCATAACATGATACCTTTTTTTTTTTTTAAATCTTATTAGTGCCTAGCCCTTCAGGAATTAACAACACGAGACATTTGGAGAGCAGCTGTGACATCATTTGGAAGCTGTTGTCATAAACGGATTGATTTGTAACATGCACAAGATCAGGATGGCTTTACGTACTTGAACACAGCGATGAGGAGATTGACCAGCAGTATGTTGGCCACCAGCAGGTAGCAGGCCATGATGGCCGGCACAATCCAGGCGCCCGTTTTACACGGAGGCAGGGCCACCATCACTCCATCCTCAGTGGTGATGTTCTGCCCACAGGGAGCTACACGACAAACAAAACGACGTGAATGCACAGGGCGCTTAGAGCTGAAGTATCTCAGATGACACCCGGCGATCGAAATTGCAAAAGGACACAGAAATAAGCCAATTTAGCAAGACATGGCCGTAATGTTTAAAAAGGTGACAGAAGCAAGCAGAACAGAAAAAAAAAATGAAAGAAAGACAAAATGCAGTTTCTCCCCCTCACAAACGAACAAGAAGCATGTTTATTTTTCGCTTCTCTTAATGAGGGAGCAGGGAACCAAAAAAAAAAATGTTGACAATATATTGAAACACACGTTTGAAATATATTGTCACATCTGGGGTAGCTTAGCCATAGCTTCACTCAATGGCTGCTTTGGAATGTATTTAAGATACATTCGGTGTTTTTTCCATCTGTGATGGTTCAGTTGCTGTGGATTACCAGCGGAACATTCAGCCTCGGTTCTTGCTTTATTTGCCTTTTTCGGATTCATTCTCGTCATGCCCGTCAATTGTTCACACAGTGCAGCCCAAAGACAGAGAACTGAAGTAATTTTCTGCTTTCAAAATTTGCACGCTCAAAATCAAGAACTCGGACAACTGAACCACGTGAAAAAACAGTTTACACATGATGGCGGGTGATCATGATGCACTGAGTTGCTTATTATGAGTCTCATTTTTTTTTGGGGGGGGGGGGGTCCTGGCCTGTGCTGCTCTGCTCCAGTGAGAAGCTGAGTCAGCAGTAAAGGAGACCCGTGGTCTTGTGTGAGATATTGGTTTGGCATGGCAACGCCAATTTCTTACAGTCAAGCTTCGTAAAGTGACGGCTTCAAACTGGTGGCAAGAAACATCAAGGGACTATTGCAAGTTTCAACTTTATGATAGTTCCCCTTGCTGTTGAAATGATTAAAAAAGTAAATCAATTAAAAAAAAACATGACAGACAGTGAAACACCTTTTCTAAAAAGTGTTACTGTCACATAATAATGGCTTTAAGGCAGCCCAATGAGGGGTAAAGTTGCACACAGGAGGTAGCCTTCGGTCAAACTACTAGTGGACCAAATAATAAAAATATGTACAATGTGTAGTCTTAATCTAGCATCTGGCATAATTCAAAGTGTCCCAAAAAACTATCATCATTTTATAGTCGAATGACTAAACCAATTCTCATTCAAATGTGCTTTTGAGTAAGATGTAAAAAAACTAAGCACAAGCTACCACTTCTTCTTTCTTTAGGCATCAAAAATTGTAGCAAAATTAAATCAACGTCATTGTGAATTTGATTAAAAATCTGTTTGAGTATGTTGCGGGAATATTTTAAAAATAAAGTCTATGGTTCGAATCCAATTTTCTTCTGACATATTCCGCAGTACTCAGATATTGATATGATCGATGATGTCACATTTTTTTTGGGACACCCTCTATTTTATGCGGTAGCTGACCCAAGACACCCAACATAAAGGCAACTTCAACCAAGTGTGTGGCGTTGCATGCACACTTGTGGCCTCTAGTGGCAAGAGTGGGCATGGCGTGGAGGTCAAGTGAGGATGATGAAGCAGGGGCGGTGAATTAAGGTCAATGTCATTATTCAATCTATATCGTGTAGATTTACTGGAATTTTGAGAGCACTGGGCAATGTGGGATGCACCACTACTACGCCAGGTTCCGAGAGTTCGTAAGTAATTTTCGACCAGCCAGAGTTTTTCATTCAGCCTTTGCTGTAACTTCCTACTATGAATATCTGAAACACAGAATGAAAACATTATTTCAGATCTCTTCTCTTTGGGCCACTCCTCCCGTAATGGACAAGCAAACATTTTCACAAAAGGAACAGCAAACAGATACACTCTCAAACAGACTCGGCACAGTCTATACTACTGGGTTCATGTCTTTCAACGGCAGGGATGGGCAACTGGTGTCTTGCGGGGCCGCACACTGAGTGGCTCCTTGAAAATTTGCTCCCCAAATAATAATAATAATAATAATAATAATAATAATAATAAAAGTACATGGATAAGCGGTTCAGATTTTTTTCTTTTTTCTTACAAACCCGCCAAAATCTTCACCAAAAAAAATGCAGATAATCATGCATTATGTTTTCCATGAAAAATGAGGGCAAGTTTTTTTTTTGGGTTGGGCGGTCATAAAAAAATCCCAAATATGATTAAAAAAATTGTAGAAAAAAAAGTCTGTGAATTTGCAAAGCTGTCGGTGCCAAACTGTGAATATACAGGGGCCAATTGTAGTTTTATGTTGTAATATCACCAATCACCACTTGATGACAGACATGTCTTAGTTGCTTTTACACTTATACTCCCCAAACTTGTGAATAAACCTCATATATATATATATATATATATATATAAGGTGAAATGTGTTTCTGTTCAGTTTTGTGTGTGTATATATATATATATATATATTTTTTTTTTTTTTTGCAGATTAAGTTGCCCATCCCCACTCTACTGTGACATTAACAATTGAAGAGACAAATTGCTACCCAAATGAAATACTGATGTAGTAACTTGACATAAATTGCAGTTTATGGCACAGAAAACAGCATTGGATTATATTCCTCCATGAACAGTCAATTTGTATACTTGGAGAATACTTGTGTCAAAGTTCACTATTAGGTTAAAAAAATAATAATAATAAAATAAAATAACTAGGACTTGTATCTCTCCCGAGAGTCAAGAACTCTTGGTGGTGAACTTACGGTCAATCTGATCAGCAAACACCTCCCCATAGATCATCCAGTACGGCATGAAGAAGATATTCCGTGCGAGCATCCACGAGGGGTCTTCATTGGGGTTGAGGATGGCCTGTCGCGCGACCCCAAAGCTCATGAGCACCACCAACATGATGATCACAAAGTACATCATGTCGATCATCTGACAGAAGGGGCGAAGAGGACAGTTAAAAGAGAAGGGAAGAATGAAAAGAAACAATTCGGACCAAAGCGCTCACAACGGAGCACACATCTGAAACAGTTTGACCAAGGGTTGCCTTCTTTAGCACTTCATGCTTCTCATTTGTCTCGGAGTCTCGAGTGATCAATCAAACTACAAGTTAATGACCACAGATGTTAAACCTTTACTTAATAGTCGTTCAGATGTTCCATCGCTCCTGAAGCGAAGAAGGAAATTACCATAACTTCCTTCAGAACAATTAGGAAAACCCAAACAATCTCAATGCTCTTAAGACTGAAAAGTACATTCATTTGTCAGAATTAGCAACCACGATTCACATACAGCACAGCAGGGGGACCGGTGACTATTTTCAATTTTCCAGAGGTGTAATGTCCCGCCTCTTGCTCACAGGCTCACCGATAGCTCCAGTAAACGATAAGAGCTATCAAAAATCAAATGAATGATAGATGCCCTTGGGTCATACTAATCCCCCCGCCCCCTCCCTATCTAAACTCACACAAAAGAATGTTAAAATAATCATTGTACATTTAGGTGTACAATGAATGGCTTGTCACAGGGCTAGTACCCTCACAGGTACGACTTTTGTACACTTGACTTTTATGGCTTGGTAATCCTGTAATCATTTGGCCCCACACTTTTGTTTTTTTTTGTGTGTTGGGAATTTTCAAAAATGTTACTGGCTCTTTCCCACAAACCATCTGGCGTGTCGGCTTAATTATGACTCCCAATTAATTCAGAAGCCATTTGTGTTTGTTTTTCCTCTGAACTGCTTTGATTTTACGTACTTACTTTGATTAAGGCAGCCACAACATCATAGAGTACCTGTATATGCCAATTACCTGACAAAATTATTCCACCCCCTCTCTAAGTGCTGATTGTATCATCAAAGCGAGCTTGTGTACAGCACCACATAATCACCTCAAATCACCACTGTCTTGAAAAGTGAGTGTCACGAGTTCCGTTCCCTTCAAACAGAGCTACCGTGGTCGCCAGGAACATTGCGCAAAAGTGGCTTTCGAGCCTCAATTAGTATTCATTTGCCGTAAGCAAACGAAACGAAATTGGCGAGCCTTATGTCACGTAACACAAAAGGAGATCGCGCTCCAGCTACATCTCACCATCTTGCCAATCATCATCACATAGGGACCCAGGTACTTGTTGACACCAAAGATGTCGAGCAGCCGGATGTACCAGTAGATGATGTTGACGCAATAGATGACCCGTCCATAGCTCATGAGCGGGGGCTCCTGGAGACGCAGAACCATGCCGACAGAAAATATGAGGATGGCCATGAGGTCTGTGATGTTCCAATACTCCTGAAGCCACACCTTGACCTTTTGTAACAACTTCCCTGGCTCTGACATAAGAATCTAGAAGAGGGTTGGAGAGGAATTAGAGCTGGGAAGGGAGACCAGAAGAGGATGCTGAAATATGTAAGAAAGAAAATGTGGGTTAAATACATTGTGAGTAAGGGGATGACACAAGGCAAATATATATATGGAACAGATACAGTATAAAGGCTCAGTTTGACACTGCCAAAGCAGTTGGCGTTAGGACATGTGCATTTCTGCGGAGGCAGTGGACAGTAACCACACATGAAGTTAGTTCGACGAGGTCGTAAGATTCTATTATATTGACATTTTCGGGAAAAAAATCTTGCACAAAGCATATCGTGCTGGAAAACAGCAGCCCTTGCAAGATTTCGATTCGGCATGAATTAAAGTTAATTTGCTTTTTCTGCAACATATATTTGAGAAAAAAAAAAGAGTCATCACAATGGAAAATGTTATGAAATATTTTCTTCGATTTTGTGAGACGGGGAATGCTAAAAACACAACATGAGTCTTTTATCGTGCTGTATTTTGGTATGTTGCCAGTGTTTAAGTGTTTACACTTGAACGGTTGCAAACAGGTTTTAAAATAGTTTCAAAATTGAAGGTCAATTAGCAACTTTGGCGTCGTGTGTTTGAACCCAATGTATTTCTAATATTTTGGGTACATTATTCAACAAATCAAAACAATTATGGAAACATCTCTTTCGGATGCACGACAGCAGCCTATTGTGTCAGTGAAAACTACAACCACGATAAGCTGCATAATGGAACAATTTGGATTTTTGTGAGTGCTAAAAGTGGTTAAAATGCATTGCAGACTAACTGCCAATAGAGGGCAGTGTGAGCTCACCCATTCAGAGATATCGTTCAGTCAAGGTGGATGTGACAAATTGATGAATGCTTTTCATACGATACAACACAAACGGGTCACAACCGAACTGGTAGTCTCATTTTGTCCGTTGTTCAATTTTCTCTTTTTCTTCTGTCCGAAGTAGCACCCTGATCCCATTTTGTCTTCCCTCCTCATCATTAATCATTTGATGAAATGGGAAATAATGCTTAGCTTCAGCCCTTGGGCCACACAACTTTCTTCAGTAAACATGCATAAAAGTCATCAGTTCATTGGGTGAAGTAATTCTTTGAACGTATTGTATTCGTGCATGTGTCATGTCAGCGTGCACATGCGGAGTACCTCTCTCATCTTCTCAATGCCATTGGTGAAGATGTAAGCGATGACAATCCACTCTTGAGGTGAAGGCCATAGGTCCATCTTTACCAGGACAATATAGTTGAATAACATTAGGTAGCCCACGTAGGCCATCTGTAGTGGAAAAGAAATGCTGAGAATTGATAAAATGCTAACATGTTAACAGCTCTTTTGCTAACAAGATGGTAAGCAAGACAGAGACCTGAATAGAGAAAATGTTGGGGCACTTGATAGGGTGTAACAGGTTGCTCCGGTATATTTCTAATGATATTTGATACAATGCTAACATGCTAAACACTTGGTATTCAAACATATAGTAAGCTATCGACATGAGTAATGAACACGGCGAGGCAGACCCAAAAAGACTGCCCTGTATTCAGCGACTGTTTCTAATACGAATTGATAAAATGCTAACATGCTAACAGTAGCAATGCGAACATCTAGCAAGACAGCAGCCTGAGTAACAAACGCGCCAGGACAGAGTTACAGCATCGATGAATTGACAACGTGCTGAGGTCAATTTCTTAGGACAAATCCCACCCAGGCGCTCTTTCTAATGATATGAGATGCTGACATATGGCAAGACAGAAGCTCGAGTAGGCCATTGCATTAACTAGTAATTGGTTGGCCGCTGTAACACTTGCTTATTTTAATGACTGCTCATTGAATGAGTGACACCATTCCTCCAAATAGAGATTTAATGTCAAGACACCACACCGGTATACCTGCACACCGAAAACATGCATTACGCGTCTCCAGCGGCTGTGCTTCTTAACATCAGTCATCGACTGACTGATTTGATTTCTATGGCACTTGTAATATCGACTGCAGCTCATCACCATGCAGACCAGAGGAAATCCTATTCAAATCAGAAGTTAGATCTTGTGCGGAAGGAAAAAGGGAAGCACAGAATCTATTTTGCTGTCAGACATCATGCTATAATTCAATTCCAGTCAAATTTCTCTTCCGCTGTCATAAAACAACGGTAACTAAATTGGTAAAAGATGTGTAAACGGATAGATTTGGCTGGGTGACAAAATTGCTGCCACGGTGCTAAGGGGTATGTATACTACAGTAATGGTAAGCCAAGGAAGACCACACAAGTGCATTAATAGAATTCACAAAAGGAAACAGAGGAAAGTAAATAGCCAGAGGCGGCAAATGGGATGAAAGAAGCATAAACGGTGACATCTCTTCAAGCAAAGTTAATGCAAGCTAATTTATGTGATATCCGGAAGAATAAAATCAGAATGTATGGCCATTAAATGCACCCCAAAGCCACCCAAAAACACTTCACATCATATTGTTTTTGTTTTGTAAGTCTGACACACAATTCAGAGATTCTGTGTGTAAATCTCCAGCTTGATTCCACATTCCACGAATGAGGATGATGTGTTTATTCCTTTTGGTATACATTCTCTGGTCATGACATTAGGTACACCCGTACAATTCAACAAATGTCTAAAAAATTCTGAATTTGTCAATTAGTTAAAAACAGGGCAGTGTATTTAAAGTAAGTCAGTGGTACCAAACAGGTATGTTTTAAGCTTGAATTTGAAGGTAATGAGAGAGTCTGAATTGCGGATGGCCGGCGGTATAGAGCTCCAAAATGGAGGGGTGAGGTTGTGAATGGGCTTGAAGGTATAAAGCAGGAGTTTGAACTGAATCCTCTGTTTGAATATGAGCCAGTGAAGCAGAGGGTGTTTTGGGAATGATACGCGTAGCAGACTTCTGCACCATCTGAAGCCTAGGAAGGGACCTGTGTGGATGGAAATAAGCAGAATGGTCTATGTTACTGATATGTGAAAGGAATGATAGTGTGCTTTTGAGGATGACACCCAGACTTTTAACCTGAAGGGAAGGGGAGACTAAGGAGTGACCTACTGGTTTGGAAATGTAGATTTGGTGCCAATTAGGAGAATTTCCATTTTATCTAATCTAATTGGATGAAATTTGAACCAGGAGTTAGTATCTGATAACCATAAAGTGAGGGCAGTGGGTTTGCAGGAGAGAGAGAGCTAGAGGCCATCTGGGAAGTAATAAAGGAGAATCAAATTTATGGAAAATGACACTGAGAGGGAGGAGGTGGAAGATAATGAGTAGGGTCTTCAGGACAGAGCCCTGGGGCACACCTAAAATCACTATGGAAGGGGTGGATGAAAAGGAATTTGAATGAACTGAGTGTGGTCCAGTGTAGGTGATGCCAAATGGAGGAGAGTCTCTTGAGGAGGATGCGGGGGTGCGATGGGGTCAAAGGTCACACTCAGGTCAAGGAGGAAGAGCATGGAAAATGAGTGTGAGTCAGATACAACGAGGAGGTCATTGACAATTTTTATTATTTAGACTGAAAAAGCTCAGGTTAAGTAAGTGTAGATTTGGTGGGCAATTATTTTTTTTCAAGAATTTTGGAGGTGAACAGTAAATTGGAAATTTTATACAGCCCTTTTACTGGATCTCATTAGAATGTTCAGGTGTACCAAATGTTGTGGCCTGGACTCCTCACCAGTGTCCCCCATGTCTAAAATGTCCAATTCCAATTACTAAGGCTGGGGGCCCTGTGGAGGCACATGCAACCAATAATTGAAGCAGCTAAGAATCACAGAGCCCACGCAGGAAGTCGAGTACGTTGGTGTTGTCTTCTGGACCACAAACTGACCGTATGGAACCAGAACTTGACGATGGGAGCGTTGTAAAACTCGTAGATCTTGCGTCCCATAGGAATGAGTCTGTGGCGGTTCTGAACCTCCTCAACATCTTTCTTCCTGGACGTCTCTGTGGCTACCTTCCCCAGCATCGCCTGGGGTGCGGGAGGACACACGCGGACCCCACAATGAGCGAGGCGGGCGGGAAGGAGAGCGAGGAGAGAGGGATAAAGGGACGAGGAGAGTGGGAGGAAAATGTGATGCGTCAGAAGAGGAGGAGGAAGGAAGACAAGCATGTCAAAGGAAAGCGGGTGGATGGGGAGTGTTGAGTACAAGAGAGAAGAGAATAAACACACAGAGCATAAATGGTTATTTTCTAGGCAAGTGCACAACTTTATCATTTATTATCATGTCAGACCCCAAAAAAAGCAAGCACAGGCAATGTCTTCATTCCAAAATGTGAAATGTGTGTTTGAGGTGAGTGTTGAGGTGAGTGAATGTTGGTGACACAGAATGACACACAGACGCACACTCATGGATTGTGTCTCAGACAACAGGACGGGCCAAAGGAGACAGGAAGAAGACAGAAAGAGAAGACAGAAAAGGAAGACATTGAAATCCGGTTTGGGACACAATTCCTCAATCAATGAGAGAGGGTTCATGCCCCATTCTCATGATGGGTCATGGACTTCATGTGAAAGCAACACCAGGCCGCTGAGAGAGTTTATTCTTGGAATTTGTAGTAGGCTCACTGGACACTTTATTAGGGACACCGACACCGACACAATCTTACGCAATCCAATACATTTTGAGTGGAAAAAGACCCGTTTTGATCGACACTGTCAGATTGGCACGGATTTAACATCTAAGTCATCCCTCGTTTATTGCGGGGGTTACACTCCAGACCACACCCGCAACAGATTACGTCCGTGAAGAGGCGACCTAATATTTATTATATTATTTATATACATTTCAATGGCATTCAATTTCAATCATATCATCAATTTCTCAATCACTTTCATGCACATAATACCAAAATGTATCCATACTAAGTGGAAGTATTATTTTGGGCCATTGGGGGTCGCCATTCAACACTGTTATATCTGTGACGTTGAATGAGTGCGTGTCTTTAAAAGGTAAACAAACCTGTCTTGTCGAGTGACATGAAGTCAGTGAATGAGATTGGAGAGTTGGCAAGCTGTTAACTGTCGAAAGCGTGAGCCAATCTGCGTGCTGAGTGACAGTGTCAGTCGATGCCATCGGCATGTTGTCGTCGAATGTGCTTGTGCTGAATTTTATTGCCCTTTTGTTAAACGAAACGACTGATAGTGCACCAGTGGCCGCGTTGTAATTCCATCTACCCGAACCACCTTTTACGCACTCTTTCCTCCAAGCTCACACTTGTCACTGTGCGCACTGACACCCTGTGTGGTAAAATAATCACGGCAAAATCGTTTTTCGATTCCTTTTTTTAACAAAATGTTATTGCGATTTTCTTACACCGGCTTGATTTCCATACAGTTGAAAATAGCCCGTTTCGAATTCATCCGCCTGCTTGAATGTCTGTAAAGTAGCTGCGTGTCTTGCAACTATGCCTTGTTTCTTCTTGAGTCGCACAAGCCCCGGTCGGTTTCTTTGTGCCGGCTTGCTGGACGTGCTTAATGCGGATGGGAAATCGAACGGTGCTGAAAGGTGCTCAACTTCAATGCAATCAGTGAAATGGACAATATAAGATCCAGCTTGCGAATCTCAACAACCTGGATCCCGATATATCTCCTCAACTGATTAGATTGAACTGGAAAAAGTCCAAGTGCTGCCTGGCATCCAAGTCTAAATACGACGATGGGGCAACTCTATGGCCGTGAGAGGGTGCTCGCTCAGACTCTGGATGATTTCAGATGTGCAGCGGCAGGCACGCACGGGAACATAAATGCAAATCCCGGGGCCTGCCCATGCTCGGCAGCCCACATGCGGAGTGGCCCGCTGCAGCAAGCCATCGGCAGAAGGAGAGCGGGAGAGAGGCAGCTGTCAGCCAGCATTGTACTGTACCTCATCTTGGAGAGAGGGGGAGGGGGATGAAGGGAGGGCAAGGGGAGGGGTGTTGGGGAGATTTTGGAAGAGAGAACAAGAGGGACCACGGGGAAAGGCGGAGAAGAGGAGATCGATGGAAGGAGAAACATTCACGAGGAAAACCCACAAGAGACGCTACAACTCCACGACCGATATCTTGGCTTGAGACAATGAGAAAGAAACAGGAAGGTTGGCCATGTTGTGTGCGTTTGGAGATTTGTACTGTGTGAGTGTGTGGGTACAACAAATTCTCATTGCGGGCAGAGCGAAACCGCGCTACTTTTGGACATGAACCACCTAATGCGTCAATATTGTATGTGCACAGGTTCTGAGATGCAGGGCTGAGGTGGGTTCTCTCACCACGGAGTTGTACTGCGCCTCACAGTAAGATCTTACTGTGAACTCCATGTCCTCCTCCTCCTTCTCCTTGACAGGTTTCTCGGGCTCCTCTTCCTCCTTCTCCTGCAAGTAGGCCTCCTGGTCCTGGGGCATGTACGACATCTCATCCTTGTTCTTGAACTCCAGGCTCAGGATTGATGGCGGCAGGAGCAGACCCAAGATCACCTGTTGTGGAAGGGGGGGAGGTGCTGTTCGTGACGGATGTGAGAGAAACTTCCACGAGCGGCGATGCAGACATTATGATATCGAGAGAGATGCGGCTAGAGGCCGACATTGATCATCAGCGGTCGTAAACTGTGCCGAGGCCGCCGTGGAGGCCCTCGGTGTGGAGGTCATTGACAGAACTCCAAATGTGTCACCAAGGAAGCTTTGCTGGAGTCACACAGACATGAAGCACAAACAGTAAAGTGCGCTGAAAACGATTCAAACGCTTACTTAATGGTAAAACGGGAAAGAAGATGGATTGAAGTCGCCGGAAGCGCCCCTTGGAATTGGTTCCAGAGTGGATCTGAGGGCTTTTTAATGCACAGAACATTCATCTAAAAAGGGCTCATTTGTAATCATTGGAACAAGCTCATGCCGATCCATCTTGGATCTTAATGGTTATATTCTGCCAGCAGCAAGCAGCACCCACTCAATGCTACATTACATCGACATCATTAGGCCTGCCGCACACCGAGCAACGCGGCCGAACACGACTGAAGTTGACCGCTGCCAAAAATGACAGTTGCCGACTCACACTCATCTCCCGACGCGCGGCGATGGAGAAACTGCAGCCCTGTATGGGATTTTGAGGCGATGTCATTTTTTTTAATCAACCACAAAACCATGGTGCGATTGTCAAGTAACAAGTTGATTGACACAAAGAAAGGAAACAAGAAACAATAAAGGTAAATAGTTTTGCAGAGCTACCAACATATAAATTGAATGTTAAAAATCCGTACGGTGTCGAATGTGGCTTCTGCGTGTCATGACATATTTCTGTCCAAATCGTCACGCCGCAATATTGAGGAACAACAATACCCGGCCGGGACAAGCCACACCATCAATCCGAAGGAAGGCAAGTCATTCATTTAGTTACAGCCCTACTCCAGGCTCGATGACAGCACACAAAAGCGGCTGCGTGCATGTCGGCTGCACCCGGGAGCAAAAACGTGTGTCGCCGTCGTCATCAGTCAAGAGAATCAAAAGATGTCACACATGAGTCTGCCTTCAACATGGGCCTGAAATCGATATTGTCACCTCGGGTGATAGAGCTTTCACAGCCCGCGGTGACTCCATCCTGATGAGTTCCAGCGTCGGGAACGGATGCTCACCATTGTCGTCGCGCCCACATTATTTTGACAATATTTGGACAGTGTTATTACGCGAGATGTCATGATACCCCGAGGGCACATCGTCTTGTTTGTTCAACTTGTGGCGTGCTTGCTGTCTTTCCACTCCCCTGAGCCTCAGCAGTACAACTCAAAGGTCAAGGAACAGCAAACCAGAAACCAACTGCGTGTCTAAATGAATCCACCCTCTCTAATCTGCCTTCATCTCATTACCGCAGGACATTATGAAGTCAAATTTGATGAAAAAAAAAAAAAATCACCCAAAGTGTCTTTAAAAAAGAAATCATAATAATAATCCAGAATGCCTAAGAGTAAAAGATCTCGGTTACATTTTCAGCTTGGAGAGGTGAATTTGCACAATTATTAAGTAGCCGCTGAAAGTGAAAACGTGTCCGCGGCCCCAAAGGCTTGAGCCGAAGCTCAACGTTAAAATATGTGGGACACGGTTTGAAGGTTTTCTAGTAATTAAGGTCAGTTCTTGCGTTCCCTGTGGCTTCAGAGGAGAATCGGTGGTCTTCAACGAACAAAGTTATAGCAGAAGGTTCACTGCTTGTGGCTGATTAGACTCATTATTCTCTTGAGTGGTCGACTTTACTTTCTCCACAATTAACTCAAGGGCATTGTCCATAAATTATGATCTGAAGTGCCGTAGCGACAAGTAAAATGGAGTAATGTGAAGTCAAATGTACTGTAGAATGAGACACAATACACTTGAGCTTTTATACTTGATCTCATTAAATATAAAGGTGTACCTAATGTTGTGGCCTGTGAAGATACGCTACTTGGGTTAGGTCTTGCATGGTTGTACGAAAAACAAATGACTGGAGCTCAAAATCCTTACAATTGTTTTTCGTGTTATATTTCCATACCCATTGCACTTTTTTTTTAAACCGCAAATAACATTTAACCACAGACTTGTATGAATTTCAAGATTTTGCTTTTCCTGTGAATCACTGCAATAACATTTCGTTGTATACACAAGCACGCGTTTTGAGAGCTGTTTCTCATCAGGTGTCGGATAGCTTCTTTTTGGTTAAATAACAGAATCCTTTTGTCCCTGTTTACTGGACTACTAAAAATATCAGGAGCGGGCAAATAATATATTGATTTTTCCCGTACCTTCAGTCCTGAGTTCTTGCGCATGCGCAGACGTCCCATCCACATGTCGGTCAGCAACATCTGACTGCAGGTGTGGGCGATGAAATCGCGGTGCTTGGCCGCTACCGCCAGCTGCAGGCAGGTGGCGTTGCTCCAGTTCTTCAGCTCATACGTCAGGAGCTTCATGGCCATCTGCTCATCCTGTTTATAAGACTGGTCCAGAAGTTCCACAGCCAGCTGGCCAAACTCTCTAGGAAATGGTATGCAGGACATAAACGCACGCATCAAGCCATGAACAGAGGGAGTGCGGTGTCTTGTCACAACATGTAAGGAGTACATGAAACTGGTCCAGGCATCACTGACCATCTGGTCCACATTCTAAATTAGATTTGCATATAAACACCCCCACCCATGAGAGGGGACTTAAAAAAAGTCAGCACAGGCGCAATTTTTACAAATGGCCGGAGTGGACACACAGGACATCATGCTGAGAGACGTTTCCATCACTCCCAATTTGTGTTTGTATTTTTTTTGGGATGTTAGCAGTACTATAAATACCATTTTTCAACATTGCTTAATTTAGGGTGCTTCAGCTCTCCACCAAAATAGGACTAAAAAAAAAAAACGGCCCACATAGAATACAATAATACTCAACAAACAATAAAAATTAGGAATGGGCGAGTAGCATTACGCGGTGTTGGTTGTGGGCCGATGCGGGCCTTATTTTACTTGTGCAGCCTGCCGATACTAACCACCGATACTGAAGGCAGAAAAACAATTTGTCATCAAATAAGTCCTCGGCAGTAGTTGGTACGATACAGTTTGACACATTGGTGAACCATCACCACCGGAAAGAAAGGTTTTCACAATTTTTTTCATCATTGCGTGAAATGAAATTGTACACATCAAAAGTACGAGCGGTATCGGTCAGTATTCAGCGAGTTTTCAATGAGTGAAGACTTACACTAGTATTGGTCTGAAAATAAGTGGCATTCCTGTGGAAAAGGCGACATTGAAGACATCCATCCATTATCCAAACGGCTTGTCCTCATGAGGGTCGCGGGTGTGCTGGAGCCTACCCCAGCTGCCTTCGGGCTACAATTTTTTTCATCATTGCGTGAAATGAAATTGTATACATCAAAAGTACGAGTGGTATCGGTCAGTATTCAGCGAGTATTCAATGAGTGAAGACTTACACTGGTATTTGTCTGAAAATAAGTGGCATTCCTGTGGAAAAGGGGACATTGAAGACATTCATCCATCCATTTTCCCATCCGCTTTATCCTCACAAGGGTCGCGGGTGTGCTGGAGCCTATCCCAGCTGCCTTCGGGCAGTAGGCGGGGGACACCCTGAACCGGTTGCCAGCCAATCGCAGGGCACACAGAGACGAACAACCATCCGCGCTCACACTCACACCTAGGAACAATTTTAGAGCGTTCAATCAGCCTGCCATGCGCGTTTTTGCAATGTGGGAGGAAACCAGAGTATCCAGAGAAACCCTATGCAGATACGGGGAGAACATACAAACCCCACACAGGAAGGCCACCGGGCCACCCTGTCTTTTATGTTTGACACAGAATTGCCAAGTCTATAAAAACAGGCCTCAAAATCATGGAGAACATACAAACTCCACAAAGGAAGGCCGGAGCCAGGATCGAAGCAGTCGACCACCGGGCCGCCCTATCTTTTACGTTTGACACAGAATTGCCACGTATATAAAAAGAGGCCTCAAAATCACGAAACGTCAAACCACGTTTGAGCTCCGGTGGCTGCAATACATCCCACGGCATCATTGCGGGGCTTTTCTCCAGTGGGACAACGAGGCGCTCTAAAATGGTCAAGCCAGTAGACTATCCGAAGGGAAGATCCATTTTTGGGGTGTAGGCATAGCTAGCTAGCACGTTACCACTGAGCCGGTTCACCGCTAATGCAAATGAAGGCAACCCTTTGAAGATTCCTGCCCTAAATGAACAGTTATTTCTGTCAGCGGAGTGCTTTCCTCGAGGTGATGACTCTCGTCTCCAATGCATGTCCTTAAATAATGATGATGCATGTTATTAGATTTCTCTATGTATGTCAGTTCTAACTCCTGGGAGCGAGAGGAATCGGAATCAGGTCATTTTGATGGGAAGAAGGTGTGCTGGCGCGCTCGGGGGCGCGCGTCTGTCGCTCACCTGGAGTTGTGGTTCAGCTCCTGCGAGATGTCGTCCACCATGTCGTTCTCGGACGCCTCGTGCGCCATGGCTTTACACAGTTTGCAGGCGACCAAGGCTTTGGCCATGGCCTCTTCGCCGTGCTGCCAAAAGAAGAGCGCCATCTTCTGCCGCTTCATCAGCACGGCCCACACCATCAGCTCGTGGAAGGGGAACGGGAAGTGGTTGATTTCAGGGTCGTCCAAATCGATGTCCACCTCCTCCTCTCGCTTGCGTGTCGTTTTCTGACGGCCCCTCCGAATGGGCATGTCATCCTGGCGGGGGGGAGGCGTGTGACATGTGACAAGGAGGGGAGGAAAAGATAGACAGCCATGTAGATTCTTTCTGCGGGCAATGATTATGCATGATGCTCATTACCATAAATTTGAACTGCAGATGTGGCGGCCCTGAACACTTTCAATTCTTCATACGGTAGGTTAACTCCTACGTATGAATGAAAATGACATGATGCTGTTTCTCCGCGTGACATATGTTTTTATGTTGCTCGTCTGCACATGAGTTTAAAAGAGGTGAAACAATCTGCCTCGGGAGACCGTGAAGGAAATCGGAGTTCTGCGCCTTTTGTTTGAAAACGCTTCTGGGTACCGTTTTCCTTTGTTCGCTTGCCGTCTCCAGAGAGAGTGACACTGCCGGTTTGAGCAGCAGGTCATCATGGAGGTATCGACTTCAAATCATGTCGAGAGTCAGATCAAGCTTCAATTGCAAATATCTCAAGGCTAAGCTGTTGCGCTCTAGATACGGTACACGCTTTGAAACAAAAACAAACGATCAAATATGCCCGTAGCACCGCATATCAGTTGTTGTCAACCTGTAATGGCTTCCAAGGTACGTTTTTTTTTTAAGCTTTTATTATGAACAAGGAAACATTTACAGACACACGTGAAGAAAGGCAGAAAACAGACAAAAAGGTCATGCATGTGGGGTTTTTTTTCTTTCTTTTTTTTTTTTTAAATACATGACTCACAGAAAACTGCAGCTACTTCACACATGGGGTCAGTCTTTGCTCATTCAGTTCAGCGCAACTGTGAGCTCTGACTGACGTATTCTCACAAGAGTTTAGTAGAAAGTTGCACAAAATTGTCAACTGATCCACTCTGACCATTTCGGGACGTTGGAAGCTCCAGGGTCAAACTGTCAACATCATTCATCTTTTATCAAATGCAGCGGTCGGATAAATCGAAGTCTGGGTGTATCTGTATCTTTTTTTTTTTTTTTTTTAATACTCATCTAGAAATAACTTGACCGATCTGTGGCCCTTGAGCACAAAAGTTCACCAGCGCCTGAGCTAAATTGTGCCAGCAGGCACAGATATGAGAATTGTATCGCTTGGTGATTAAGTGCAGCCAATGAAAATGATGTGTCTCATGAACGTGATTCCATTGACATGGGAAATGTCAAATTATCAAGAAAAAAAAAAACGAATAAATACTGAATGTGTAAAAATGATCCCCAGGTGTGCTTTGTGGGCAACTTGAATCCTGTTCTTTTTGCTTTCGGACGTTTCTCATCATCATCATGCAAGCTGCTCTTGCAATTTGCAAAACATAACACGGTAAGCCAAAGAAAAATATCATGCAAAGGTCTTGACAGGTATGCTAATGGTTAGCGCTACATTGGACGATAAATCAAAGGTTCTGTGCAACTTCAGAGGTAAATTTGGTCAGTATTTTGGTTTTGTTAGAAAACAGTTCAAAGTACTAAGTAGAGTGCATGACTTCTTTTGGATGAAATCCGACTAAAAACTCTTGTGAGAAGAGGCACCTCAGACATGTGCAATATTGGGACTCACATATTTAAACAGCGTGAAGCCATGAAACAGTGATGATTATTTTGAGGGAAAAAAAAAAAGAAGACATTGACTGACAGAGGCAAAACACGGATCAGCACATATTTGGAAGAACACCACTTCAGAAGAGGAGGAGGAGGAAGAGGAGGACGGGCAGTGAAGGAATGACCATGATGGGAACACTCACCTCCATCCCCAGCAGTTTCAAGGCTTTGGGCTAAAAAAGCAACAAGAACATGAACAGACTGAACAACACCTTTGGGGGGATGTATTTTCATGGAGCAATGTGTTGCTGGTGAAAAGACAGCTAGGCTACGTGTACAACCTCTCTGGTTGTATTAAAGCAGAGTGGTGGATTTAGTACAGTGGATCCGTACGATAAAAAACAAGGCCGCGTTTTGCATTATGCATTCATGAGCTATCATCTCAGTTGGTAAAAATAGGCTCGGTTTCCTTGGGGGATTTTGATATCTGCATCTATTTAAAGGCTTTGTTCTTTGTCAACATGTTTATGTGCTCGCGTGCGTGAGCGTGAGATCATGATCACGGGTTCTGCTTCGTCTCGAAAAAAGGCAAAAGAACCGACTGCCTCTGCCTCCCCATCGATATGTCTTGGCATTATCGCCATCTTCCTCCATCATGCTGCTTTTGTCGCTTGCGTTGGAGACATGCAAATAGATGAACAGGCGTACGGCAACTCACACACACGCAAGTACAAAGTGCACCATGAAGCAAAATGATGGCTTTTGATACACTGCGATGTATTTTTTTTTTCCATAAGACCCACGTAAGAAGCCGAATGAGGGGATGAAACAGGAATGCATCGCTCTTAACGAAAGTGCGCATAGAACCAGTAATGACTCTTTGGCTAAGTGGTTTCTAATGGCTCGGTGAGATGACTGGTCCTGGCTGCATCGACAACACTCACAATAATCATCAATGTGAGTTCAATGACACACATGCAATTGGAACAACATCGATGCGAACCGTCAGAATGCAGGAGTTTGACCTCAATTAACCTTGTATCAAAACCACAGCTTCAAAATAATGTGGATAGGCCACTCACGCGCATCTCTGTCGTTACCCTTGGAGACAACAGATCACAGATTTTTGGGCGCTGTAAGATCAGTGCATCAGACTGGACACCTTTCAGGTTGTTTTAGAATTCGCATTAGATGAAATTCACAATCTAAAGTTACATGTTAAAATAATCAAATTATGTTTATTTTAAAACACGTTACATCTTCACGTTCTTCTATCCCCACTCAAATGCTTTTAATGCGTGAGCTAAAAGCAACTTCCCTGAACCACTAATATGACTTCTATTGCCTGCAAAACTATGGGCTAGATTTGAACTTGCTGCCCATTCAAGCATGTCACAAGTAAAAATTAAATGCACATGCTAATATACCCTGGAGTGCATATTGTTGTCCCTACTTTGCAGATTAGTATTATTAAAATATAAAGCATCCACATTATCCATCATGTACTTGTCAAGGTTAATTTGCCCATCCGGTTTATTTTCCACGGAGTGTAAGTATCAATATTAATGATTCATGTTGAGAAAAAAAAAAAGATAAAATAATGAATGTTGAACGTTGAAGAACATGTGATGAATTTGCTTACCCTTTTGGGCCCAAACAAGTTGTGGTACAGAGTCCTGAATCTCTTCCGAGTGTAGTTACAACGATAAGCTCCGCCCATTAGGTACTCAATGACCAATCCGATGTCGATTAGGCTGATGCGGTAGTCTGGGGGCAGGTTTCCCTACAAAAGTGCGCGGCGTTAATGGGCAGCGACTTCTTGGCAAGGCAAGTAAAAGACACACTCACTGCAACAAAAAAAAAAATCCACATCAAACTGAGTTTGGCTATGAAAGAAAACGTGATTATCGGATTCACCTTGAAGTAGATCCAACTGAACCCTGGATATTCTCGCTTGGAAAGAACACACAGTGTCAGTGAGTAAAACGCACGATAAGCACGAGCAGGGGAAATGAGAAACACAGAACAGGACGGACAAGATCTCTCTTCCAGCGCTTAGCACAAAATTGTTTTCTCAACAAGTCCGTGCTTTACATCGAAAGGAGAGAGAATTTTTGGGCTCGTCGCTCAAGGGATGAGACATAGACAAGATGTGCACGTCTGGCCATAAACTAAAATTCCCAAGCTGTGAGTATGTAACGGTGCAAAATGATTTTAAAGAGCACTTTTGATTTCTGAGCGTAATTACAAAAGGTGGCTCATTTGCTTTTAGGGACTGAACGAGAAGAAAGAAAGAAAAATGTTAGACTGGCTGGAATGGACGCTAATGTGGAGAGAGAGAGAGACAGAGAGAGAGAAAGACTATCAGGGAGTAAGTGATTAAAAGGAAGGATGGTGAGCGCCCCCATAAATACAATAAGTAAAAATGATTAAAAATACAACTCACCTTTACACGGAATGTAGTTGTTACAATTCGTGCGAGCCCTGCACATGTTTTTCTCTAGCCGGTCTGATCTTGTGTTCACTAGCATAGCTTGAAAGAATGTATATTTTTTCTGTTTCGGATTTCATTTGATTTTTAATTGGATATGAAAACAGATATGCTTGTAGCACAGTAAAGCCACGTGCCATAATGCGACAAGTGTTATTGGCACAATGTCGTAAAGTGACCCGAGTGTCGTGATGTTGGTGCGCGTGTGTATGTGATCTCAGAAGAGTTGTAGTTAGCAAACAGTTGCCGGAGCTTTTATAGGACATAAAACTTTGGCAAAAAAGATGGCTGCTACCCTCGTTATTCACTGTCTGTCCCGTGGTTCCGCTGGTATGAATTTTTTCAAGACAAGAGGCGAAAGTTAGCGATGCTAATCACTTCTGCCCATACCCAAGCAGCCTATTTTCATACTCTGGGACTCGCACAGACGAATGAAGACTGCGTTGCATTGTTGGCTGGACATTTCGCGGATCCATAGAGAATTGCAGTCAAACTGCGCTGTAAATTAGTGATTGGATGACATGATGCCAAAAAACATGTGATTGGCGATTAGACGGATTTCAAATTTTAAACGTTGGTGCGGAATACTAAAGTCACCGAATCAGTTGAGCTTCTGACACATACCGTTACCATTTACCTTTGAAATAGCTTCAATACTAATGATTGGGCCAGTGGAGAACCAAGTAAATCTTCGGTTATCCGCTTTTTCTTAAAATGTATCTGTGAGCAAGCCGCTCTGCACTTCAGCCCCACTGTTACGAAACAGTGGGGCGAATTTACATAATAACCACCCTCTACTCCCAAGTTTCCGTCAAGCTCCAGAGCTTCAGTCAAGTCACACCGCCAGAACCACCAGGTTTTGTTGATTGCACAGATTCGCACCAGCGCTTTTGATGAGCTCCACATTCTTAAATTGCTTGATGAAGGTATTGAGACAATGGAGGCCCGTTTGTGTTTGGCGACGTGAACGCTGCCGACACATACACATGCCTGTACGGGAATTTAACAAGAAAGATGCTTATTTGGACGTTTGGTGCTGCCACCACAGGCAAAAATGGAATCTGTATTAGGTGTAGAATAATTCTTGATCCTGGGGGTATTTTAGCGAAAGAATGTGACACACGCCGGATCACTGTCAAAATATATCACCTTCAAGAACGTAACCTGAACAGGCAATCATGCCATGTAAATATGTGCCTATGGATTAGTACATCCATTTTGATTGTTTCACTCGAGCTCAAAACAGACAGGTTGCCTTTCCTGCTGAGATGTGACAACCAGCATGAACCGTCTTTGTTTATTTACTCCTCCAGAAAGTCCATTTCTGCTTGAGCAGCTGCAGCCCACAAAGCCAATCTGTGTGTGTGAGCTTTCTCGCCGTGGGTGATTGGAGCACATTACACCCGAGAGCAAGCTTCAGCAGCAGTTAGCAGAAGAACACCTGCTTCGGGATCAAAATATCAACAAAAGGCCACGTCCGCAGAGGTGAACGAGAACGGCAGCCACAAAGACTCAATCTGTGGGTGGCGTTGAAATCTAATTGACATCGGTGAGGTGCGGTGTGGTTCCTCACCACTGTCAACCACGACAATAATAAATATATTGCTAAAATCGGAACGCACAGGAGGTTAGGTGTTGATTAACAGTGCTGTTGAGATTACTATTGAATTACTCCTTCATCAATGGAATTAATTACCAGGGAACGTAACCGTTGTGTGACTTCATCTCGTCGTTTCAAACTCATCTTACATTGCCCTTAAAAAAAAAGCCTCACAAATTATTTTTGATTTTGAAAAAAATACACCAGACGTGTATGTGGCGCGAACAGCGAAGAGTCTTTGCAACTTCTGTTATCAAGCCAGGCTAAACTTCGCCATCCCCCACCAACCTACAAAGATCATAAAACAGCAACATACTTCGTTGACAACTCACACTTTTCGGTTAGCCTACTCTTTGGCGCCACCTTGTGGCAAGTTAAGGCACGGCAGAAAGAGCTCAACAACACGCAGAGACTCGATTCTGCAAATTAGTTTTTTCCCCGCTACGGACAGATTTCACAGTAAAAATGTGAACTTCGCATATGGGTGGGCCGACGACACGGGCGGAATGTAAAGCTCAGATTGTTGTTTTGTTCATGTTGCAATCAAGTTGTGCACACGACAACAAACAAACAAAACAAAAAAAAAGTAGGCAAATGTTTTCTGTTTAACTTGCAACAATTCGATGGAAACATTTCATCACCTTCACGATGAAATTAACGTGATTGCGATGCAAAGAAAGGAATTACAAATTCTCGCCCGGAAAAACACACGCTACGACTCTAAAACACAAAACAAACACATCGAAGTGACTCCTTCTCAGCCTCACAGCAGCTCCACAGCTGTTTTCTCCAATTCAAAGTCTGCGAATAAAAGACTGTTTAATGCCTGCGCTGTTGGTTTGCAACGGTGCTGTGTGCCTTCGAGAAAGAACAGAGTAAATAAATAGGGAAGGAGTAAATGCAAGTCGACAGAGGGATGAGAGTCATGCACAGCGCTACGCAGCTACGGCAGCCTGCAGCTCCAGCTGAAAGAGAACAGCCAGCCTCTATTTTTGCGGTTAGGAGCAACTAGGACTCGCAAAAAATAAAAAAATAAAACCAGACAATACAATGCAAATCAAAAGAAGCTTCATGTGGTCTTTCAGACACAGACATTCCAGCCAACATTCCCAGAGGCTCGTGTTCTAGAATGACGGGTAGCGATGGCTCGTACCTTTTTGACATCCCTGACAAGGTGGTAAAGCGTGTTGGACGGACCGTGCCTCTGCAATCGAGAAAAATGAAACAGAACACTGCGATCAGGATGTCCGCCGCCGTGGGACGCGGTCCGCCAAAGACACGAATGATGTTCTTACCGTGTTGTAGAGCTCCTCCAGCCTGGACAATGTGAGGAAACGGTGCATACTGACTCCATTTTCGATCAGTAGCTTGACAAAGTCCACCCGGTCCAGAACTAAGGCATCCAACATGGCTTGCTCCAGGGAACCAACCTGAGCAACACGGCAGTGAGGAGTCGCACACTCACGTTAGCATAGTCGCGATACAACCAGACAGCAGTAGAATAAGGATCGTGTCGGCATTTGAAACACGGCAGTAATTTTCGGCTCATTGACGTCTACCAATTTTGGCCTATACGAGTCATGGGTGGATATTTTTTACGGAAACTTGTCAGCCAATCAGAGAAAGGGTTCGCTGTAGTAGAAGACGAAACGAAAGGCTTAAGGAGATATAATGAAGTTATACCATTTTTTGAAAAACAGATTTTCAATCGGCTCAATCACATAAAATAATTCCCCAAAAAGGCCATTTTTCCCCAATACAAAAAACTCAATTTCTCCAGAACCCATTTTCCGATTTTCATGTGTTTTAATCAGATTGAAGTGGCCATTTTGAAACCCGTCATTTTTGGAAAATCTTGTCAACGTACTTTTTGTTGAGCCACACATAAAACTCAACTACTGAAGTCATTGACAGGTCTTGCTGCAGATTCTGAACAAATTAAGCGCTGGACTGTTTTTACAATGTCACACATTCAACCCTCCATCCGTTTTTTTCATTTTTCAGTGAAAGAAGAGCAAAACGCAAAAGTGAATGTTTGTCTTTTGTGTCCATTTGATGTTTGGCAGTTACTTGGGACCTTGTTTCCTCTTTTTCAACCAGTTTCTTTCAGTTCCTTGCCAAATCGACAACACCAATTTTCCGGTTTATGCCAATTTTTTCAAGCATTCGAAAGGTTTCGGCCTGACTGAAAACGTCAGCCCAACTATCGCGTGCTATAATTTGAGGTCCAGTTTGGGCGGCCTTCTTGCGAATGTTTGCTTTCTTACGGGCCACTGTTGTCCGTAGATGAAGATCTGACTGCGGGCGATGTCGACTCTGTTCCACGCGAGAGCCAAACTCAACTGGTCGGGAGCTGAAGCGTTGGCACCTGAGGGGAAAAATAGGCACATGTTCGGTTGAAGCGAAGACACTCTGACCTTTCTAAAAGCAATCGTACAACTCTGTCATGGAAATCTGATGAAGAGGCATCGGTTCCTCGATTGATTTCGAGGGAAGAGGTTCAGTTTTGATGTCTATTGCTTGTCGTTTACTTTTCAAAGAAGGAACTTGATTTTCTCAACGCGTTTCAAAAACCAAAGCAGGTTCACCTTAAAGACCAAATCCCAATAAGCAAACTTGGGCGCTGTGTTGGGGAAACCCATAGCAGCCTTTGAACAGGCGCTTGGCATGACATCGGCTTCATTGGGTCTACCATCAACATTCATTGGCATCTTAAGAACAAGGGACTCTCCTTTTACACTTATTGAATTTTGTGGTGTGTCAAGCACAACGATAATGAAGAAGCTTGAACCTCGAAAAGCCGTTTCCAAACAGAGAAAGGAGGGCTGAGGCATCCCCAATCGTGTAACAAACGCCCTGACAGCCTTCCTCCCTTTTGTCTCATTCCAGCCACAAAAGCTGCCCTAAATGAGCTGTTTTGCCACCAGCCATTTGAACGCCTGATTGGTATGCTGGACACAGTCGTTCGCTGCCGCGCTGAGCAACAACAACATTGGCATGTATAGAGAGATGCCACCCCTAAAATTGAGAACCGAAGAAACCTTTTGGATTGACGGTAAAACTTCCACTATTACCGTAATTACAAAGTACAGTAAAACCTCTCCTTTCTCATGAGCACTTTGAAATAGTAATTCATGCCTTCGTCACATCCCGGCTGGATGACTGTAATGCACTTTACTTTGGAGGCAGCCAATCCTCCATTAAACGTCTCCAGTTGGTCCATAATGCTGCTGCTCACCTCTTGACTGGTACTCGTAAGAGGGAGCACATAGCTCCTACTCTGGCATCCCTTGACTGGCTCCCTAAACATTTTAGAGTTCTTTTTAAGATCCTATTATTTGTTTTCAAATATTTAAAAGGCCTCGCACCACCTTAGCTCTCTGAGCTCCTCCGCGCCCCTACACCCCTGCCCGGCGCCTCAGGTCTGCGGACCAGACATTATTAGAGGTACCGAGAACTAAGCGGAGGCTCAGAGGGGACCGAGATTTTTCCGTTGCTGGTGCCTCTCTTTTGAATAACCTCCCACTGAACGTTCGGCAATCGCTGCCCATCTTCAAAACTCGCCTCAAAACTCATTTGTATTCTTTGGCTTTTGACTCAGCATGACTCAGACTTGATCTTAGTTTGACTGTTTTTGTGCTTTCTACTGTCTTTGTTATTAATTGATTGTTTATTGTGGTATATATGATATTTGCTCCGTGTACAGCACTTTGCATACAGCGGTGGCTGTTTTCAAGTGCTCTTTGAATACAGTTGAGGTGAGTTGAGTTAAAAGTGAAAATTTGACTTCAAGTATTTGCAGTCCGCTGATAACTCGAGCATTTTAAGCGACCTAATTAAAAAAAATGAGTCTGCGGTGAATGAATCCATAATAATCCTTTAGTATTTAAACAAGAATATTCAAAGAGCCCAACAGCATAATCACTCGACAAAGTGCTCCTACTTTAAGGCCTGCACACGCACCACTGGAGCCTCATGCTGCGATTTCACATGGAGCCTTACTAATAAGGGGACAAGCTCGCTAATAAGCACTTTACCGGAGATTTGTGTGCATTAATGCGCAGGGGTGGTCTTGTTTTATTCAAAGCATGTGACCTTACAGTGCATCTCCGGGGAGGCCAAATTGCAGCAAATGATCTTTATGGACCGAATCCGCAATTGATTGACTCCCTCAGACAGCGCACATCAATGATTCCGACGTCTGCTTTGTTCAAGCACTTCCCGGAATCTCACAACCTCCCGGTTGGCTCTGCTGCCGCCCCGCGCTTTGTATTTATGCGTTTGTCGCGCTTCGGGCGGGATCTCGATTGCGTCAGTGAGGGGTCTAATCCAGCGTTTTCAAATGCTGCTGGGCAGGATGTGACAGTGGCAGGATTTCACTTTACACTCAAAGCCCTCACGCGTCTTTTCTTGGCGGTGCGGCACAGAGGGAAACGCGCGCGTAAAATGACTCGAGCGGCTTACTTCCACGTGCATATCTTTTTGCTCTTCCGCGGCATGACTTTATTGAAATGTCGTCTTCCCACTCTCAAAATACCGACGGATAAAGAAATGAAAGGCAAAGCAAATCAAATTCAGAAAGAAACGGCGATGGAGAAAACAGAATACTGTACGTTTGTTTACAGGCAAAGCAATAAAGGCCCAACTCGCGGAGCGACGCTTGAGGTGAAGGAATTATGCATGTGGACGATGCTGCAATAATTATGACAAACATTTCTCCGCCAATCTCCTCTAAACTCTTTGCGAGTGTGCAAGATAGAATGCTGCAAACTGCTACTCACGCAGCCGGAGTCCTGCTGCACCATCAGAGCAACCGTGATCAATCCGAGACCCCGAGCCACCAATCGAAGGTATGGATCCCTTGCGCGCGTGTGTGTGTGTGTGTGTGTGTATTTAAGGGAGAGGTATGGGTTGGTCTTGGGAAGCATTTGAGGCGGAAGAAGAAACAACTGTGGTTAAAATTACGGTCCAACACTAAAATTTGATTTTGGAAAACTACCAAAATCTGGAAGCAAAGAAAATGTTTGAACATTTTGTGAGACTTCAGTTCAGTGGGCATCTGAAGGATTAATTTCACAAGTGTCCTATGCTCCTTTTTGGGCTTTTTGGGGATCGCACCACAGAATCCTACTGTTGATGGCAAACAGGAAAAGTGTGCATTGGCACTGTATTTTTTTTTATGCTAAAAAGTTGCAGGAAATATTATATATTGAAGCCGGGATAGATTCTGTTGACATGATTTCATTTGGGGGGAAGCGGGAGGGGAGGAGAGAAATTACAATAAGGAATAATATGTGAATAAAAGAATACGGCACAACAATACATATTCACACTGTATTGATGAACATATCGGGGCTGACCTTGACTTGTCTTCTTACTAATTGATTTTTATGTGATTGTCGCAATGCTCGCCGTTTGTTGATGTATTTTTTAGTCTTATTTTTGCATAGAACATCAGATTTTTGAAACAAAAACACAAGCAAACTCCCAATCCCCACACATTCGATTCCGAGCGAGCTGCATGAACAGTGTAGGAATGGACTCAAGAGCGGGCTGATGGAAAAGTGAGCTGAACAGAACCAAAAGGGGATTGCTGTTCATTTCGGCGCCTGGTTATGCTTCAGTTGTGCCAGTCTATGCGCATGTGGTCCAATCCCAGTGGCCCCGACCGATCCTCCATGCATGCAGACCCGCCGATGGTGGCGTTTATTTGCTTTGGCAGACAGCAAATCAATAAGCGGCCGGTGAATAAAGTTAAAACACCTCGGCGAGCGAGGGAGATGGATGGTTTTCTCTGAGGATGGTTGAGCCCGCGGGGCCAATATGGAAGATTTCCTTAACCGTCTTTGAATATAATACGTTCACGGTATTAGGCCCTTTCCGCCAGGAAGCAAATAAAGGGCGCCTCCAGATGGAAAACAAGCGTGGCAACACGCATACGGATGGAAAACACAGTTTGTGTGCCGTGGACGCTTTTTAAATCGAGACCGCTCGGGCCCACCGAATCTGCGTGCCGAATAACAACTTGCCTAGAGGGCAACATGGAAGCCGCTTACTGTTGAGTGACTTTAGCGCACGCACACACACACACACACACACACACACACACACACACACACACACACACACACACACACACAAGGGCCTACCTTTTAGGAGTGCCGTAAGGATGGCGAGGTCAATGTCTTGATGACCCTCGGACCCCATTCGAAAGACTGTTATCTGGGAGAGACAGGTTGACAGAAAATGTGGTGAGAAATGGAACTGCTTTTTTTTTTTTTTGAAGACCATAGTAAAAAGGAATGCGCTGTATTCTTTATCTTGAGGCTGCATGTTTCGACGCCGGCATGCCTTGGTTGAGCCCATGGGAGCGTAGGTGCACGTCCATGTATGTGCTCATGCGTGGAGGGCACCTTGAGGAAGCCAAGAAACCGGGGGAAGCGTGTTCTGAATGCCTGACGAGTGACTCCGATAATCCTGCAATCCAACCATCCATCTCCCCCCCCCTTCCACCCCCCTCCCCCTCATTTCCCCGCAGCCCATCTCCCACCCTCTAAATGTCTTCATTTCATAGAGCGCTGGGAACGTGCAAGCTTCCTCTGCATGCTGCTGCTTCGGTGTTCTTTCGGCCAATGCAG